TAGGTCCTGAAATCCCCGAAGATGTTATGTTTTGGATTGTTTACTTAGACTATTTCAAACATCTGGTTAAAAAGAAACCAACCTAATGTCTTACCGTTCCCAAGGAAAGACGAAAAAAAAAACCCAGCTTGCTTACATCGGACGTGACGGAGTACGAACACGTTTTTCGTGTCGTTCTCATGTACGCTATACACGTTGTGTGTCTCGGGAACAGTGCGCGGTGACCAATCACCAATGTAAAAAAATGTGGTTTCTTCAACGCCCGCAAAAGGCGAACACTTTAGGCCAAAAAAAAATCCGGTTTCTGGTATGCGCACGCGTCGCCGTAGCCATGCGGCAAAATGAAAACAGTTGGTAGGTTACAAATGAGTAAATTTATAGAATTTACATAAAAAATCCACCCACACAACTTACTGTTCTGTTTCTAAAGCTACTTAAATTAATCTGGGCTTGGGAATTTCTCATGTTTAGGGCTGATGAGGTCTAACCACACTCATAATATACATTATCAGCAGTTGCGCACGGCAATAAAAGTGCAATATCAGTATAAAACAATAATTATCGATGAAGGCAACTCGCCTTTTTCAGAATAAAACGGTATGAACATGACTGGCCGCAGGCTGAAGTCAGAATGCCCTCAACCACCTACATGAAGCCTATCCCGAATTCGACAGGTCAAGAAGCTAGATCGAGTCTCAACCAGGGACTATATTTTATAGTTGGCCACAATTAATGGAATAATTGATGAAAATGGCTGGCCAACCCCTGTACATCCAAAAAAGAGCAGTCTTGCTCGTGTGACATATATATTTGCCAAAAATGCAGGTGCTTTTCTTAACCATTTTTTTTTGGTTTGATTTCCGAGATTTGAACTTTCTAAGAAAGATGAGTTGCCTTTGTGTTCACTGAATTTTAACTTGAAGTAAGGTTTATGTCCTATTGAAATTGGTAAACAAATACTACCTACCAAAGTGCAATGTGCATGTTTATTTTCATCAATTGTAAATCATGAACTTGAGCATCACTGATCGTTTCCAATGATATATATGTACCAACCTTAACAGTGACTTGGGAAATGACAGAAAATATAAAGTCTCAAGAGATGCTACACGATTTTGGGGGGTACCCGGGTACTTTTTACACAGAAGTGTTATTAGTCACGTGGGTCAAAATCAGGGAAAACTCATGGACACAGATCCTACGGTGGTATTCCCTGAGATCTTGGTTGAGCTCTGTCTGGCTATTATTATTATTAAACATAACGAATGAAATAGAGTGGGAAAAGTGAAAGCACTATAAGTTGCTTTACAAAAACCACCAAGAGACAACTATCAAGATAATGAACGAGAAAACAAGAACATTTTAAACTGGACAATAACGATCAACACTTGATATAATTAAATGGACCTTAGATCCACGGTGCGGGGAGTGAAATGAAAATTCATACCCTTACAGACAGGTTGATGTTAAGCGTCAGATATGGATGAGGAGGAAAGGTTACATGGCATTTGAAGAGGTTGGCGGTTAGTTGTCCTCTTGGGAATTCACATTTTCGAAACTACGACCTCTCCACTGTCCTATGTATTCCAGTGGCTTTGGGTTCACTCATTAGTTAGTACCTTTGTCTTTGCTTGTATACGTATATCACCATTGAAATCCATACTTAAACTCTACTGGTCACTGATTTAGTTCTTACTCCCTCCGTGTAAAATTCTTTTCAGATACAAAATAACATCATAATTATTTGAATGCAGTTATTGTTTGTACTGAAGTAGTGTCAACAAAATTGTGAGAACCCAAACACAATCACTAATTCTCTATTAATTAGTAAAAAGTAAGTCCTATTGTGTCTTTTAAATTGCATATAAAGACAACAATCACCAGAGTAGATAAACATGATATACAACTATATATGATTACAAGGTAGGAATAATATTTTAAATCACTATGAAAATTGCAATAAATTGGCGAATACTTATGAATAAACCGTTCATTTTAACCGTTCACTATACACACATTTATAACGGTTTGCTTTCTGAATGTAATGATATCTTTCTTCCTGTACTTTCATCTTTGCCATATCCCAATAATTTTTGACTCGCCAACATGGCTCCTTACCAAATAGTATGGGAATCCCCGCTGTTTTGACGAGCATTTGGTTTTCGGGCTACTGCTAAGTCGAACCCTACATCCCCCCCCCCTCTCCGGAAATCCGCGCCTGACCGCAACATGAAGAATATTCGCAATTGGCTGACGACCAGTAATGTATGCATGAACTCCAAGCAAACAACTTCGTATAGGGTGCCCCGGCAACACGTGATTCGCGCTCAACGTAACGGTGCGGTCGTGATGCGGCGCTCTCTGGCGGTGGCGGGTTATCGCTGCAGCGGGTAATCGCGCATTCAACCATAAAAACGTCTAGCCCCTAGACGAGCTCGAGTATAATTCACATTGCATCGCTAGCTAGCAAAATCGCATGTAATCGGTGCACACTTATGAATTAACTGATGAAAAATCAAACTAATTTACAATGAATCCTCCAAGAACAAATACTAAAATTAACACCTATAGAAAGAATGCAAGACTTTTCCTTTACAACTAAAAGTGCAATGTCGGTATTAAATAATAATTTACGATAAAGGCAAATTTATAACATTTTAACAGCATTTATAACAGCAACATGATTAATAACAAAAAAAAAACATAGGAAAACAAAAGAGAATGCAGGAACTCACCTATTTCAGAATGGGTGCATACCCATGTTCCCAAAACCTATGTCCCCCAATACCTATGTTCCCTAACCCTAACTCTAACGATTTTGGGGAACATAGGTGTTGGAGAACATAGGCATTGGGGAACATCGGGTACTCCCCATTGGGAATTCATAATTATTGACGAAATTACGACCTCTCCAATGTCCTACGTAATTCCAGTGGCTTTGAATTTACTCATAAGTTAGTTCCTTTGTCTTTGCTTGTATACGTATATCACCATTAAAATTCATACTTGAACTCTGCTGGTCACTGATAGAAATAATACTAATAGTAACAACTATATACATCATGCTAAACTCTTCCAAAACACGTACAAGAACAGTGAAGGTGTAAAACATCAATTTGTCATGCATAAAATTAATAAAAACAACAACATCATTATTACAAAACTCATACAAAACCAAAAGGGAATTCGGGAACTCACCTTCTTCAGAATAAAACGGTATGAACAGACTCATGTATAGGAGGCAAGGTGGTATTGATCCTGACTGTCCGCAGGTTGGAAGGGAGTGGTGGTTGGTTGCCCTATTGGAAATACATTTTTTACTACATTACGACCTCTTCACTGTCCTATGTAATTCCAGTAGATTTGGGTCCACTCATTAGTAAGATTATTTGTCTTTGATTGTATTCGTGTTTCACCATTGAAATTCATACTTGAACTCTATGGGTAACTAATTTAGTTCGTACTCCCTATGTGTTAAATTCTTTTCAGATACAAAATTACATCATATATTGAATATCAATATCATATGTACAGAAGCAGTTCCAACAAAACTGTGAAAACAACATAATTAAGATCAACCATATACATGTATAATTGAGATAAACCATGCATGGTAACAACTAGTTTTAAATTAGGTAGTTATTTGACAAATGTTTAATGTATTTAAGTAAGTTTATAGGTGATAATGTAGGTCTGCTTTAGCAAATTCTAAATATTTTTCGAGTGCATTAGGCCCCCCCCAAAAAGTCTCCGGTTTCTGGTATGCGCGCGCGTCGCCGTAGCCATGCGCGTCGGCAAAATGAAAAAGTTTTTTTTTCAATGAAAGATGATGTCTCAAAACCGCTAAACTCACTGGTTTGATTGGAATTCCGCTGCTGTGCAATTTCAACGTGTTTTTGGATGGGGTTATGATCGAGAATAAGCTCTCTGGACTCCCATATATTTGCACTAAGTTTAGTCGGGCACCATTTGCAGTCATCAGCCGACATTTGAAGCAAAAAAGTCGGGTAAAAAAAAAAAAAGCCGCGTCGCCGCACCACTTTTTGGACAAGCTCCATACCAGAAACCGGAGACTTTTTTTTTGGCCTTAATAGTTCAAGTTGTGGGGAAAATGGGATATGAACATGTGTTTACTTTTTATTCGTCTATAATGTATTATCTCAACAAAATCTGTTCTCTCTGCATTATGCACATCACATCGAACAAATTATGAAAAAAGTAGAACCACAGGTAATCAACATTTTAGTGTTTTCCAAATTTTGTTGTCTAGCCAAAAGTAAATGTAATAACTGCTCATGAAGCTAAACTGCCTGACTCTACAGTACATGTATGTTCCAAGTTCTTTACTGAATGCAAATGTTACTTTCACGATATTTTTAGAGTAATTTTTTTGCCAGTTGTCAGAAAATGGAAGAACGTACAAAAAGGTGTATAGCTGTTTAAATGCTTTTGCATTATTGTACAATGCATGTATTTCACTTCCATCCATCTCTGAAAAGACTGTGTAAACCTGGCAAATTTTCAATGATTTTAACCCACAAAAATTGTTTTTACCTCGTCTATGCATAAATGTATACTGCATCAAAACAATTATGAGAAACTTTGCAGTCAAAGTTTATCGACGTTTCAGTGTTTTTCTTAATCTTTTTCTGGCCAAACCAAATGAAAAAGCTGCTCAAAGAGCCATACTGACTACATTTCTAAGTTGGAAGGCATTTTGCTCTTTCACAACCTTTTTTATGCTACAGTTTATATTACGGAAGAGCCAAATAAATGAACATATGGCACATGGATGTACATGTACATGCATTTTTATCAAGCAAACTTGATTTCAAGATCAAGCTTGGTCGAACTATGACAACAATAGTTGCCTCCATGTTACATGTATTTTTATCCGCTCACCTCTGTGAAATAACTTAAAGTATCAAAAATGTGTTTGAGAAAGTTAAGAATTACGTGTACCCAGCCTTTTTCAATCTTTTTTCTAGGTTTTCTTTCTGACATAATGAATCGGGCAGTTTACCAAAAAGCACTCGAAAAGGGCAGTGAAACAGTACATCGCACGCGACTGATGATTGTTGGTCAAGAACGAGTTGGAAAAACTAGCCTGATGAGGAGTCTCGTTCATGAAAGGTATGTAGTACATTCAAGGGGGAATGAAATCCGTTGTGTATTGCATACTAGTGGAGTATGAGAGATGACAACGGGCTCATTGTCTCTTTCTTATTACCCGCCGGCGAAGCCGAAGGGGTATACTCTGTCGTCTTGACCTTCTGTATGTGTGTACATGTATGAACATTCATATACTTGAACTTGGACAATAGAGGACAATATACAAAAAGGTCCACGATTGTGCGAAGGTCCACTTTTCAGGTATGTGGTAAAACAAATACAACAAAACAAAAAGATGCAAAAGTAACAAGAAAACGGGCAATGGGAGGTCCATGATGGAAGGTGAAAGTGCTATGTGTTGACGTCTAAATCCTGGATATATGAAGGTCTACTCTTGAGGTTGTGTACAACTCATATTATATTATTATTCTAATTATTGAAAAAAACATCAACACAAGAGAGACAATAGGGGGTTTGCGGGCTGGTCTTGAACTTTAGAGTCCCCAAAAGGCTATTGTTTTTAAAACTATAGGGTAAAAGTCAAGGTAATTATGGTTAAAACAATCTAAGTTAATGGTTTCAGCAGATCATGTCTAGAAAGTTACGTGGCATATCCTAACGACAATCATTTTCACTTCAAGGTCATACAATTCCAAATGAGAGGGCACACAGGGCCACAAACATGGGCACACCGCGGGCACAAGCCATCATGGGCACACAAGCCTGATCAACTGGTACACCAGGCCCGCACATTGGGCACACTAGGGATGCAACAGTGCAAATAAATTCACATAGACACTAGTGCTAAATGCCCATATTTCAAATTTTTTTTTAATATACTCAGAACTCTCACAGGTATTCAAGCGGAACAGAAAAATGATGATCAACATGTCATCTTTCGTTTTCTTTTCATTTTTTGGGGGTTGACCATTGACTTTTCGAGATATTCTCACTCAAAGAAGACGACCCCTATTTTCCCCAAAGCGGAAAAGAAGCCATCTTGAAAAACGATCCTTCCACAACATGGCAAAATAGCGCCACTTTCGAACTCAATAGCATCCAAAATGCTCAGAATTGGAAGCCCCGAGTCCGGGCCAGCGGTTCATTACCATATCTCTTCAATTCCCCAATTTTACGGCGCTCAGAACTCTCTAATATAGAATATTTTGAGGGTATAACTTTTATTTATGAGCTTGGCGGGTGGATTTACCGGTGTGCACCCCTAGGCCCAAAAACATGGGCACAACGGGGCAAACATTTGGTCACACCAGGCCGGAACCATTGACACACCGTCACCTAGCCTGCACCATGTAATAGCCTCAGTGTACTAATGTGTACTAATGTAAAGGAAAGACAACTATTAAAAGGAATGAAAGTACCGATTCCAAAACAGTTGTAATGACTCGAGTCAATGAATCGACTCGAGTCTGACTGGAGTCTTAATTTTTGGTGAATCGACTCGACTCAACTCGAGTCCCTAAGGGCAAATGACATGACTCGACTCGACTCGATCGAGTCACTGGGAGAAATGACTCGACTCGACTCGAGTTCCTCATCAGAATGACTCGACTCGACTCGAGGAAGGCTAATAAGACTCGAGTCCCATAATTTTTAGCAAAATCTGCCAACAATAGTTGCAATAACTTGCCTCGGTGCTGGTTTTTGTTCACGTCACGTTAAAATGTTCGCGACTAATGTGTACATATACATACGTGGTTTGATCAGTGTCCCCATTAGTTTCATCTGGCACCCCTTTTTATTTTCATTAAGAGTCAAATGTGGTGTCACCACATGTAGTTGTCTTGTGTTTATTTATTGTACAGCGTTGATAAAAAAACAGAAACTGAGATATTGTTGCAGCGCACGCGTGAATCAAAGGGATATATCCACTTTTAGGTATGAATCTCCTCTTTAAAATGACACCCTAACCATGTCCTTACATTCACGGTTGACAGAGCAGGGAACAATTTCACGAAAGGGTCTATTTAGAGACTTGCGCCACTTTTCATGATGAAATCTCTTTTACCCCACCTACCTTGATTGGCAACCATAGCCTTTCACTCTGTGACAAATGACACAACAAAAACCACAATTGAAAAGTGGTGCAAGTCTCTAAATAGACCCTTTCATAAAATGTGTCACTGCTCAGTCAACCGTGAATGTAATTTCATGACCAGGGTGTTACTTTAAAGGGGAGATTAACCCTAACAGAGGATATCTCTCTTTGATTCATATGTGCCCTACTCTCGTTCAAATTAGCAATAATATCTCGGTTTCGTTTTTTTATCCACCCTGTATAGTGTTCAAATATTTGTGATTCGAATTGACTCGAGCTAAATACTTGACTCGACTCGTCTCGACTCGACTGCACACTTTGACTTGACTTGACTCGACTCGACCTCTTTGACCTAAAGACTCGACTCGACGAGTCACTTCTTTAAAATAACTCAACTCGACTCGAGTCACAAATATCAGTGACTCGTTACAACTCTGGCACGATGTCCGTATATTAATAATACTACATATATAGCCTCACTGATCCTATACCAATATGATGTAAACATGTATATAAATACTGATGGTGGATCCATTGGATGGTAGTGGGGTAAAAAATATGGAAACATCAAGACCTCTGTGTGCTTTGAATGGCTGAGACAAAATGACCAGAATAACGGTTAATTCCCCTGAGCACCATGTGTCCCAATGCGGAAGCAATGCTTCTCATCTGCTAGAAGTTGTCCATGCCTAATTTGCATATCCGTAACCTTTGAATTGGAATAATTGAGCCAAATTTGGAAAGTGTGTTGCGTGATCTATATTGTGATAAGATGTCAGCACGGCATCAAAGGCGATGTAACGAGTACTTGTTTTTTGAAGGAAAGTCCAACAGTGCAGTATGGGTAAATGTAGGGATGCTGCGTAGCACTGTGTGCAGTATGGGCTCCAAGCGCCGACAAAAAGGGCGCGTTTGTACTACTTTTCAACCTTTTTTTGACAGCCCTTTGGATGGAGCCCCGTGTGCGTACTACCATCTAGGTTCGCGCGCGAAGTACGCACGACTTCCTGAATGTGCCAAAGCTAAAGCTCATTAGCCCATTAGCCACAGCGTGATTGCGTGAGCGTCAGGCGATGTAAGCGCGCGAATACGTTCAAATTTAACCTGCCTATATTTATGGGATCTCAGACTAATCCCCGCTCCCACTGACTTTGGATCATTAGAAATACGCAGTGAATGGACCCGGAACTAGTCTAGGTCTCCCCGGCCCAAACTCTCCTAGGCCTAATTTCCCTGCTCTGCTAACCACAGAATTCCGCACTTACGACTACAAATTTTGTGCTAATCGCGCTAGCAGAAAAACTCTGTGTTAACCCGTAAGCACAGAATCCTTGGTTACGGGATATACGCATGCACAGAAGCAAAATTCCTCCCCAACGCGTGCAATACGCTCACCGTAATCAAAGAATTTTCTGCTATAGTAAGCTAGGATTTTTTGGTAACGTTAATAAGCAGAGCCAAGAAATTGGGCCCTGTTCTGACCGTTGAAGGAGGATGGTCTGACCGTTGAAGGAGGGAGGTCAATATCGACGCCAATATTGACGCCATGGCCTCCATGTTGCAAATATTTGCGCCAATATTGACGCCAATATTCACGACATGGACCCAAGTCGCAAATATTGACGCCAATATTCAAGACATGGACCCAAGTCGTGAATAATGACGCCAATATTCACGCCAATATTCACGACATGGTTCCAAGTCGCAAATATTGACGTTAATATTGACGCCAATATTCATGACATGGCCTCTATGTCGCAACTATTGACGCCAATATTGACGCCAATATTGACGCCAATATTCACGACATGGCCTCTATATCGCAAATATTGACGCCAATATGACGCAAATATATTCAGGACATGGTCTCCATGTCGCAAATATTGACGCCAATATTGACGCCAATGTTCACGACATGGCCTCCATGTCGCAAATATTGACGCCAATATTCACGACAGGCCCAAGTTGTAGACCCACTCATGCGTGAATTTTTTTCACAGCAACTTGGGGTGTCCGTTACCCACATAGTCTGGCACCCAGACACACCAATCTCTGGCTGAACGTTCGTCGTCTTCTTCTTCTTCTTTCGTGTGAGTTAGTAGTACTGTACATCAGGCTATTTCTTGGAGCTGCGTAAGCCAGTTGATTTGTGCGTCTTTTGGGCACGACAGATCAGTCATCCCGTCAGGAGGTTGGAGGTCGGGGCAGTGGTATAATATATGATCTGCCGTCTGCTCATCTGCACCACAGGTGCATGCCGGTGAATCCCGGAGTTTCCAGCGGTGCATGTTGGCATTGAATCTCCCAACCCCAGTTCGCAGCCGGTTCAGTGTAACCCACTTCCTCCGGGGTAGTTCCGAGCCAGCAGGAGCTTTGGTGCCAGGGGGAACAGTGAACTGCCTTGGGCGAACCGTCCCTTCCCAGCCCTTTTCCCACTCTTGTATTAGGCTAAAGTCGGATCTGCTGAGGGCGGCTGCATGTCGGGAGAAAGGTTTCAGGTTTCAGGTTTATTTCCATACTATAAGGTAATTCAGTTGAATAATATACATCAGGTAAACATTTTAACGAAACTTTGAAATAATAGTATGGGGAGGCCAGACAAGAAGCCGAAGCTTGTACTAGGTCTGCCCCCTTCACAAAGAATACATGTAGTTATACAATTCATGAATAATCATAGGATATATCAATAATATGTGATTACATTACATTAAATTCACGAGCTCATGCAAAACTTTACACACAAAAAAAGAATAAGTTACTTGAGGGAAATTTACCATCCTTGACTTTACATGTGTTGTTAATAATTTACTTGGCAATAAAGTAATAATTTTGCTCTTAATCACCATTGACATTAACCGTAGAGAGAAGTAGTTTTTTATAATACAATTTACATGCTCTAATTGAGGTCATTGGGCAGAGGGATCGAATTTTATTCCAAAGGAGGGGCCCCTGGTGTCGTACAGTTGAGAGGTGTAGAGATGTTCTAACTTTATTAAGATGAAGCTTATTTGACGATCTTGTGTCGTAATGATGAATATCTGTGTTCATTACAAAAAACGATTTAATATTCAAAGGCAGTATGTTTTTTTCAAAATTATACATCAGAGCACACAATTTATATTTATAAAGATCATATACAGATAAGGTGTTGAACTTAACAAATAGCGGGGCAGAGTGATCCTTAAAACTAGAACCATTAATCAGTCTTAAAGATTTCTTCTGTAAAACGAGCAATTTATCAAGGTAGGTTTTATGAGTATTTCCCCAGGCAAGTATACCATATTGAAGATGAGGCAAGGATAACGTATTATAAATTGAAAATAGAACACGGGATGGGACAAAATATCTAAGTTTTCTAAGAATACCAAGGTTGCGAGATATAAGTGTAAGGACTTTCTGACAATGATTTTTCCACGTTAACTTATCATCAATAATGACCCCCAAAAACTTACAGGAATCAACCTTTTCAATATGATGATTGTTAAAACGAATCTGAATACTTTTATCTACAATTCGATTTGTAAAAACCATCGTATGTGTTTTCTTAAAATTCAAAGATAATTTATTACATACAAACCACTCAAATACATTAGTAAGCTCATTGTTCATTATGTCAACAGCATCATTCAAATGTTTACTACTGTAAAATATATTTGTATCATCTGCAAATAAGATGAACGTCTGAAGTCGAGTAGAATTACAAATATCATTAATATAAATAAGAAATAAGATAGGTCCTAGGATTGAGCCCTGAGGTACACCACATGTGATTGGTTTGTAATTGGACTTTTTATTTTGCCAGACAACAAATTGTTTCCTATTTCTCAAGTAATCTTTAAACCACTCGAGTGCAGTACCTCTGACACCATATGTTTGTAGTTTATTAATTAGAATATCATGATTTATTGTATCAAATGCCACACAAAAATGCAATTTTTTCCAGAACTGATTCGAGGTCTTCTGTGAAGGTCTGAAGACATAAACCAGGGGGTCTGTAGATCAAGCCAATTATAATGTTACTTGTTTTTGTTTTTATCTCAATAAATAAGGATTCATGGGATTGAGTCGGAATTGACAGATCGGGGCGCAATACATAAGTCAGTGAATCTTTAACATACATCATCACACCTCCGCCAGTTTGATTTTGTCTGTTTTTAAACTCAATGTTATAACCTGGCATGACCAAAAGGGGATCAGGGTCTGACTTCAGCCATGTTTCAGTAAGGCCGATAATTTGAAAATCGTGCCTTATTTCTAAAAGCGAATGCTGCAGGGAATCAAAATTTTTATTTATACTTCTTATATTTGCGTGATACAATGAAAAGGAATCACCTTTCTCAGTATATTTGGCCTGCACCTGGTCTTCACTAAGGTATTCGGACCCGCATGTACTTTGCAGGAATTCGGCGTATTCAGTATCCAACGGTACGGGATTAAAGACGTAATCGTTGAGGCGATTTATGACATCACTATCTGATGAATGGTGTGCGTCTGTACTACTTAAACTTTCATTGAAACTACTGCTGTCACTTAAATAGCTACTGCTAGAACTAGACATAAGGATTTAAATTACGATAAGACATTAATGGAATGGAATGGCCAGAATAAAAGCCGTTACTAAGGGCTAGTGAAGGGCGTCCACAGCAACGTTTCAATGTAAACAAGATACTGAAACTATGAACATGTTTCAATACCAATGAAATATGGAAGATGATGTGTTTACTAGGGTAGACAATGATCATAAATTCACACATTATTTTGTTATAATTATATGCACTAAACCCCAAATATTCGGTGACTTAAGGAGACATTGAAATGATATTATAAGAAGGTGATCTGCCAGATATTGCACGATTTTGGTGATGTTAAGGATGGTAGTAGTTGTGAATAAGAGGAAAGAAATTGTTACCATATTTAAGTAGTAAACTTAAGTAGTAAGTTACAATGTAGCTAAAGCAAGATGTTATATACCTTATTGATGGCGTTAAGATATCAGGTTAGATTGCCCCATTCTGAAGGTCTTGAATGAACCGCTCTTGAGTTTGTAGCTGATGACTGCTGGTACTGACATGGGGATGTAGGCGAATTGTACCCGTGAGTCCTGCCGAATGGATTGTAGGTGTTGTTCCCTAAGTCGACGTCTTTGCTCACGGATCCTCTGGGTGACATCATCGCTTATGAAGATGTTGGAGCCTTGGAATGGGTTGTTCTTCAGGTGGCGAGCGGCGTTCTTGATGATGTGTTGCCTGTCAGTATACCGCAGGAGCTTGCAATGAATCAGCCGCGGGCGTTGGCGTTGGTTGGGGCCCGTGCTTGGTGGCCGGTGTCCAGGAGTGCGGTGGGCTCGCTCTATCTCTATTTCAGAGCCTCCATCAAGCTTCATGTGGTCAGCCAGGAATTTCCCGATGAACTCCTCACAGGACTGGCCGTTTCCTGCGCTCTCGGGGATACCATGGATCACTATGTTGTTCCGTCGGTTTCGATTTTGGAGGTCATCGATTTGGTCATCGAGTTTATTGAATTCCAGGTGGTTACACTGGCTTCTGTTGTCGATGAGATCCTTGAGTGACCGGCAATTCCCCTCGACCATTTCCACCGATGTTTTCAGATCATCAATCTCCTTGCTGTTAATGTCAACACGGTGATTTGTCTGTTGATAGCTGGCTTCTAGAGTGGAAAGACGTACTCCCATGTTGTCAAGTGATTGGAGAATTTTGTCCAGCTTGTTGTTTACATCGGACAGGGCGTCACGGCAAAACTGGCAGCCATCTTGGATTTCACCGCCAGTTGCTGGGGGAGCTGGTGAAGGTTGGTCGTTTTTCCCTCGTTTTCTTCCGCTTCGCGTCGATTTACTGACATCAGGGGAGTCAGTCATGGTCACCAAGGAGTGAAGATGTTATGGTGCAGATAAAAAGTATGATATTTTGCGGTTTTCGACTAAATTTCGTTGATTTTTCAGGAGCGATCTTACAACCCGTGCTTTTAGCTACATGACGTGCATAATGGTAAATCGACGCGATCGGAGGCGTTGGCCACCTAGGTCCTGGGATTCTGTCATAATTTTGTGAAGAAGGTGGTCATCATCGGCAAGGGATTTGGTTGTGAGCTTGTCTGTCAGATTCTCGCGGCGTAGCCTTGGTGGTGCGATTCCAGCGAGGACTGGGAGGAGATCTGTGGGTGTAGGACGGAGACATCCAGTGATGAGCCGCATGGTGTCATTTAGTACACAGTCCAGCTTTCTGGTGTGGGTACTCCTGCACCACGCTTGCGCAGCATATTCAGCAGAGCTGTAAACCAGGGCTAGAGCTCCTGTGCGAAGGGTGGATGTTGATGCACCCCATGATGTACCAGCCAGGCGACGCAACAAGTTGTTCCTTGCCGACACTTTTGCTCGTAGGGCTTCGAGGTGCTGTCTGTATGTATTCAGCTGCAGCAGGGAGATACCAGCCCGTACGGCATCCGCAGGTGCCTGCCCTGATGAGGGCACGTGCTGCGGGTTGGTTCTAGTCTGTTGTGGCTGACGATCCATCGTGTAGACGAGTGTAGACGAGTGGTAAGAAGTTGATTGATGTAAGTTCTACTAACTCTGGTAGTTGTCGTTCGCCTGACTTGCGCCAGTTGACAGGATTCACCACGGGGAGGTCGACAACTTGAATCCCAACGTTCGTCGTGATACGTTCGTCGTGATACGCAGCGCTTCGCTCGTACCTTCGCCCTGCAAACAGGACGCTGGGATACTCTGATGAGCAACACAGAATCTTGTGAAGGAAGTGGCCTATGATCTATGTATAAAGCATCTGGCTGCAGCTGTTCAAGACCGCGCAACTAGACAATGTGCGCAAATGCTATCCGAAAACTTTCCATAGAATTGCGCACATTCCATACCGGATGTGATTTTTGTTTCATTGTGGACCACGTGGACACAAATTTGAGCTTCGCATAATGCAGTCAGACCGTTCGTGATTCAAAACGGAGCCTGAGCGAGTGACGGGAATTGTAAATTTACAACACAGATAAGTTTTACAGAATTTCTTACATTATTTTGCTTTCAACTAGAAAAAAAAAAATATCCTAAACTGGAATAAAAGAGTAATGAATCAGTTTTAACGGCCGTTTCAAACCTAGAGGAGTCATGACCTTGATGACGTGGAGTTCGCAGGTCACGCAAATCTAACCAATCAGAGCGATAATTTATCAGAGTATCCCAGCGTCCTGTTTGCAGGGCGGGGGGTACGAGCGAAGCGTAGCGCGAGCCTTGAATGTAATAATAATAATAATAATAATAATAACAGGTTCTTATATAGCGCTTTTAACTAAGATCAAAGCGCTTCACACTATTATTACCCCTAATCATTGGGCCAATTAAACATTCCAAATACCATCTCAGCTCCCTGGGGAGTATACAGTTGGATGCTGCCTGTTAGGCGCAAGGAAGCTAATTCAATCACAATTACCATCACTGCCCTCATTGGTACCAATTTACTCCTGGGTGGACAGAAGCAATTAGTGACAAAGTGCCTTGCCCAAGGGCACACGCCCCATGACCCCGCCAGGACTCGAACCCACAACCTGCAGCTTTTTGACATGTGCATTGGACGCAAGGTGACCGTTTTAGCCGATGTTCGGCTAACTTTGACAAAATTTTTGTAAAAAAAACGAGAGTTTGACAGAAAATTTGACAGAATTGATTCTTTTGAGACAGATTTCTGGCAGAATTTTGCAAAAATGGTCGTAAATTTGATTTGATGAGAAAAACAGCAAATTTGAACAAAAAATGGTACAAATTTGTTTAAAAAATCTGCAATCCTTTCAAACAAACCCTGGCATAATGGGACAGGTTGGCTGGTCTAGGAAAGTTGTAATGACTCGAGTCAATGACTCAACAATTTTTGGTGACTCGAGTCGAGTCACATCCCTAAGGGTAAATGACTCGACTCGACTCGAGTCTTCACTGCGAGCAAATGACTCGACTCAACTCGATCGAGTTCCTCATCAGAAGACTCGACTCGAGCGAAGGCTAAAAAGACTCAATCGAGTCCTAAAAAAACTGCAACTTTGCGAAAAGTATTTGCAATGACTTACGACGCAAGATTTATGCTCACTTTACTTTGCGAATAGCAGACTCCCACCTCATAGTTCTAGAACGCAAAAAATACTACACATTTTCGAAATCGCTGTTTCATCATTGGTTTAAGGCGATTTCTCATAAAGCTTTTGGATTCTAAGGCCCCCCCCCCAAAAAAAAGTTTCCGGTTTCTGGTATGCGCGTGCGTCGCCGTAGCCTTGCACGTCGGCAAAATGAAAACGTTTTTTTTCAATGAAAGATGATGTCTCAAAACCGCCAAACTCACTGGTTTGACTGGAGTCCTGCTGCTGCACAATTTTAACGTGTTTTTAGATTGGGTTATGGTCGAGAATAAGCTTTATGTGGCCTCTCTGGACTCCCATATATTTGCACTAAGTTTAGTCGGACACCATTTGCAGTCATCAGCCGACATTTTAAGCAAAAAAATCAGGTACAAAAAAAAGCCGCGTCGCCGCACCACTTTTTGGGCAAGCTCCATACCAGAAACCGGAGACTTTTTTGGCCTAATGCTTGCTAAAGTTATGGCCTCCTTTTATAAATTTTGGTATACATAGTGTTCAAATAATCGTGACTCGAATTGACTCGAGCTAAATATTTGACTCGGTAAGACATCCTGTGGTGTAAATTACCTGTGACACAGTAACCTTTTAGCTTGTCACTCACTCCATCAAGGTTGTTCGAGAGATTTTGTGTAAACACTTTTGCACTCTAATCTAACTATTTGCAAACATCTCTCTCTGTATTTGCACACTTCTCTCTCCATGTTTCCCTTATGTAAATGCACACGTCTCTAGTCTATTGCACTATTCACTCTTAGTAAATCATGCGACTAGTCATGTGACCCTTAGACATGGAAGTTTACTATTGGTTAATTCCTAAATCAGTGCTCATGCATTATTTAATCCCGACAAGCTGTCATGATGACAGCATAGTCTTAGTACAGTTATATATGTAGAATTTCAAACTTAAACTTACATGAACCTAAAAAGGAACCTGAAAGTGGGGAGGGGTTGGATCTACTGGTGGCGACCCCCCTCCTCCCAAAAAGGGAGGAATAAATGGAATGAAATGTACGTAGTTACTATCCAAATGTAATGCAACAGTAGAAAATGCCGTAAATAAACCCCAGGCACTTGAAGCGTTGAAAATACTCCACCAATGCGAAAAAATTGTAATTCATGATGGAAGTTTGTGTCTCAACTATTTGAATTTGAGTGGAACGTGACATATTATATTACTCACACATGAACCTCTAGATTGTACATTTGTTTCATGCCAGAATGACTTTTAATTACAGGTTTAACAGCGAAGAATTATCAACAGAAGGCATCACTACGGACTGCACCATAAACATCAGCTCTGCACAATCATGGCACTGTAAAAGAGGTAGACACACTTAAACCGTGATTTTTCCGCTACAGTTAAAAACTGATGTTGTTGTTGTTGATTTGAATATATATGTAAGTTTAGTTACAAGGAGGAGTTGTAGTCCAGACGATAATTTTTTTAAATGTTACATGATATGAAGAGGCATTTTTGAGTAGAAGTTGGTAACAAAGCTATTTTAACTAATTTTTGGGGTGCTGACTCCGAAAAGGATGGATGCCAAGCTGGATTTTCTAGAAGAAATGTGCCTTTTTTACCTGTAGTGTAATATATTTGTTCTCATATTTGGGTATATTTTGTTATCAATTGAATTTTTGAAAACTTTTTTTGAGGACATACTAACAATCCAAAATGGCTTTTATTATACCCTAAAGTTGTGCTCATTTACCTATTTCTATCAGTTTAAAACATTGCCATAAAATATTGGTTAGTTATGGCTCTGGCTGGCTGTCACTCCTGAGGAGTATGACGACTTCAGCAATATCGTTCGTGGGCATAGAGCCCAATTTGGTGAGAACACTGTCTGCCGCAGTGGCGGCAGCAAAAGCGAGAGATGTGACCATGAGGGTTGGCCACTAATGCAGCCCTGGCAGCACGCTTGCAACTGCGCTCTGCTGTCTCTTCAGCCAGGCGGACATCAATGAGGGTAACAGAACCTCTGACAGCAGGTCTCCACCGTAAACGGTCGCTTGCTGTGACCTCCCAGGAGTCGACGTCGATGGCACAGGCCTTCAGGTGTCTCTTGAGGCAGTCTTTGAATCTCAGCTTGGGTCTGCCTCTATTTCTTGCGCCTCTGATAAGTTCACCATATAAGACAGCCTTAAGAAGCCGCAGGTCGTCCATGCGGGCTACATGGCCGCTCCGTCGCAGTTGGCTCTGAGTGAGTAGTGCCTCAACACTGGGGATGCCTGCTCGTCTTCTTACTTCCACATTACTAATCCTGTTTTGCCAGGAGATCTTGAAGAGATGTCTCAGCTGGTACATCTGAACGCGCTGGAGTCTCTTGATGTGGCGACGATACAGAGTGTAGGTTTCAGAGGAGTAGAGCAAGCAGGTGAGGACTACTGCACGATACACCTTGCACTTGGTTGTTAGCCGGATGCCATGTCTCTTCCAAACCTTTGACTGGAGCTTCCCATAGGCTGCAGCGGCCGCACTTATGCGCCTTTCCACTTCTTTGTCCAGGCTGTTATCATTGGAAACTGTGTTGCCGAGGTAAGTGAAGCTGTGCACAGCTTGAAGTGGATTCCCACCAAGGGACAGCTCTGGGTCAATGTAGGCAGTGTGTTTAGGAGGCTGGAGCATGAACTCGGTCTTTCTGATGTTGATGGTAAGACCGAGGCTTTGGGCGACTGAGTGGAAGGCATCAAGCATGGCCTGGAGTTCCGCCGCAGAGTGTGACACCATGGCAGAGTCATCTGCATAAAGCAGTTCGCGAGCACAAACAATTCTGGTCAGGGTCTTGGCCTTGAGACGGCTGGCGCTGAACAACTTCCCGTCTGAACGTATTCTGAGATAAACACCACCGTGCTTTGGACACAGTTCTAAGACAGCACTGAGGTAGATGGAGAACAGGGAGGGAGCCAGCACACAGCCTTGTTTGACACCTTGAATCACAGTGAACTGGTCTAAGAGTGTGCCGTTGAGAGAGACTTGAGCCATCATGTCAGTGTGGAGCTGAGAGATGAGGCTGACAATGCCTTTAGGACAGCCATATCGACGCAGGAGAGACCAGAGACACTCCCTGTTCACTGTGTCAAAGGCTTTGGTGAAGTCAATGAACACGATGTACAGGGGCATGTTCTGCTCCAGAGCTTTCTCCTGCAGCTGGCGCAACTGTGACTCGGGGGGGACTGCATGGAAGATGGGTTTGAGGCGCTCCGGAATTACTTTGCCAAGCACTTTGCCAGCGACTGACAGGAGTGAGATGCCTCTATAGTTGCCACACTCTTGCTTGTTGCCTTTCTTTTTGAAGATGGGAATGATGACAGCATCCTCGAACTCCTGTGGTACAGACTTCTCATTCCAAATGGCTGAGAGCACATCATATAGATTACTGGTAATCTGTTCTCCATTTTGGTAGATCGCCGCCTGAATACCATCCATTCCGGGGATTTGTTGGAGGCAAGGCTTCGTACAGCCTGCTGCACTTCATCTATGAGCAGAGGGTCATCAGCACTGAGAAGCACTGGACGCTGAGGGATTCTCTCAAAAATTGAGATGTCAGCATTTGATCTTCGATTCAAGAGCTGATCGAAATGTATCCGCCATCGTTCAAGAATGTCACCCTGTTCAGTCAAGAGGGTAGTGCCGTCAGGTGCAAGGAGAGGGCTGGACTGTGTTCCTCCATGATCAAAGGCAGTCTTCAGTGCTTAATAATAGCCTCTGGTGTCCCCCATGTCTGCCATTCTCTGATTTTTTTTCAGCTTTCTGATCCCACCACTTGTCTTCCATGTCTCTGAGCTTGCGTTGCAGTTCTGCCTTCACTCTGGCGGACTCAGATTTGGTTCTCTGGCATCTCGGCTTGGCAAGACAGGCCTGGTGGGCTTTACGCTTAGCTTTGAGGAGCTCTAAAATGCAGGAGTCCGAATCATTGAACCAGTCCTGATTCCTGCACTTTGGGTGCCCCAATACTTCTTTAGCAGCTTTGTAAAGGCATGAGCTGAAGTTCTGCCACTTCTCAGCGGCAGTGGAACTGCTAGCTGGGGAGAAGCGCTGACTGAAGGTACTTGAGAGGTCTTCCCTAGCACTGACCTCCCTGAGTCGACTGACATTAAGCTGAAGGCGTCGAGTTCTTTAGCAAGCAAAGCAGTTCTTCTCTTGGGAAGGTTGGGATTGTTGTCAAGGAGAGTTCGTACGTTCCAACATGCGATCTGTAGCTTTGATTTATGGTTGCACCCAGTGTTGTAGTCGAGGCCACAACCTCCGAGGCCGAGGCCAAGGCCGAGGCCACAACCTCCGAGGCCAAGGCCAAGGCCGAGGCCACAACCGCGAGGCCAAGGCCAAGGCCGAGGCCACCGCCTCCGAGGCCAAGGCCGAGGCCGAGGCCAGCTATCAAAACACGTAATAAAATATAAATCACTAAAACAAGGCTAAGATTATGTTGGAGTTTTAACATCTTTTCAGTTGAATTCACTGAGTTTTGGAGTGCCTGGCTTACAAATTTACAGCTTGCAATGGGTTTCCTCTTGTAGGGAGTCCGGCGAATTTAATTTTTTAAAGAAAGAAATCTCAAGTTTTGTATCACTGAAAGCAAATTACACAACAAATCAATGGCGTTTGAATCAGTCTCATAGGTGTTTGCCCTTTGGAGATACAACAATTTAAATGGCCAACTTTTGAGTTTCTATTCTGTAAGATTTACATCGTTTACTTTTAGCATGTCTTATAAATCTTATTTTAAAAACCTATCAAAATGCTTAATATCATAGGAATCCCCATTAAATAAACAACAACTTGATTTTTGAGTCAGGTTTTTACCACTTATTACCAAAAAGTTACGACCCCCCCCCGACTTTCGCACTGTCCAGGCGCGCGCCCGAGCAAACACCGCGATGCGACCAGACAATGCCAGATGGCCCGCCGTTACGCACGGGCAAAGCATAGTTCCAATCCAGCTCGTACAACGGGATAAGTGTCCACGCATTATCACCGTTAATACCGCGGTACCAGACAAAGTCTGGCAACGGCCAATCCCGCTCCAAGTAACACGGAACATGCGTGCATGATATCACTCACTCAGTTCATCAAAGTGACCATGAATTCTCGGATCATCCGATTTGAATCCAATGGCTTCGAAAAATTTTAAGATCATGGCAAGAGGTAGGGATTCCAGAGGTTTTGGCCGTATATCTGTAACCACGCAAAATTAGTCAATTTCAAACCGTGCTTATGCATGTACAGTCGAGTCTCGTTAATACAAACTCGTTTGGACCTAGCCAAATTGTTTGTTATATCAGAATTTTGTATTAAGAGGAACATCAGTCCCATTCATTGTGCACATAAATGCACAGTCGGGACTAAGGTTCTATGTTTGTTATAACCAGAATTTTGTATTAACAGTGTTTGCATGTACTAACGAGAGTCGACTGTAATAAGTATCAACATGGCTCTAAAAATACAAAAACGTATCCTGGTACCACGAGGAATACTGACTCCTATTATTAAAACATTCATTCAGAACTTTGCATTCATTTGGATGGAAAAACGAATTCTGAAATCGCGCTTTCCATATTGACCATTTGCGCCACACATTACCGTGTGAGCCGGAACTTTCATTGAAATTGCCGTGTAAAAATAAAATCTACTTGATAAATCGTAATTGTTTTTATCATATCTTTATGGGGAAAAATGGTACGGACTTCTACACACGATCGTACCCAGAAAGTTCAGACTTTTACTGAAACATCGGCCTATAAAAAGAAATGATTAAGCTTGCCGCACCTTGCCGCAAATTATTTTTAAAGGTCGGGGTACAGAGGCGAAACGAGAAAATGTTGTACAACACTGCGATCAGACTAGTCTACTACCACATGTTATTGTACGCAAATGGGAATGGTGCTAGACTTATGTAGTCTGGCACGCGGTAACAGTTATAATGCTTGCACGCACTTGGAAAGCCGAAGCGCAGGCTAGGCGAAGATGCTACGTACGTGAGTACGTATAATGCAACCATTTCCAGTTCATTCGTGCGTATACATTGTATGCGTTCGTTTCACGGAACCCACTGCGGCAGAATCTGGAGGGTTTGATACGGTAAACAAATAAAATTAATTAGAATAGAAAACACATCAAAATAGGCGGCCTCGAGCCGGCCTCGACCAATTCGCCGAGGCCGGAAGGCTCTGAGGCCGAGGCCAAGGCCGAGGCATTGCACCTCCGAGGCCAAGGCCGAGGCCGAGGCCATGGCAATCGGCCTCGAGGCCGGCCTCGAGGCCGAGGCCGGCCTCGAGACCTCCAACACTGGTTGCACCCACTGAAGTGGAGAACCCGCTGACCGTGGGCAGCCAGCCAGGTTAGTTGAGGGTGAACCTTTTTACCTCACATTTTCTAGAGGCGTCCTCGTATTGAGGCAGGCGGGGCATCCCTAAAAAAGGCCGCCTGGTCACCCAGGGAGGACCTCACAGCACTGTCACCCATATAAGCTTTGCGACCATCACTCTTGGGCCGCGCAAATGCAAGTTCTTGCTACCGGCTTCCAGCTTCTCAAGCCTGCCAGTACCACAAGAAACCTTTTCGCTTTGCGACTTGGAGTCAAGGTTGCCGAAGTGGCCTGCACAAGGATTAGGTAGGGAGAGCATTGTGCAGGTACTCTCCCACCCTCTGGGTCATGTGGTTGGGGAATCAAGTGGCAGGAAAAAGAACCAGACGACTTGGCCAGCGACATGACTGCCCCGCAGTATCAGACTCATGATGCTGGTGATCTCGCCCAGTTGCTACTTCAAACGATAAAGACACCTGGCCGAAGTCCTCTTGTCGCTACTCCGAAATGTCAAAGACGCCAGAGAGGAGAATCCACCACCTGCTGCAGTGGCTTCACTATTTAACCCATAGTTATAATACTAACTATAATGGTTTTGTGTAGTTTTTCGTGTCATTTTTCTAAAACTGTGAAAACTCTTTCGCCCAATTTTTTTTCTATGATCCCCTTTAGTAATGCTCATCATTTTGATACGGATAAACCTAACCCAAAAATGCCTCTAAACTTGTTTTTCAGAAACGGGGAAACACTGTGTGGACTTGCCCAAGTCCACACAAAGTCGCCTCTACCTGGTTTATATGGACTTTTTTTTGTTCGGAAGTCCACAAAGTGAATGTAATGCCTACCCACAGTTACACTTACACTTACACTAAACACACACTGCATCAAATTTAACAGGCATGTAGTCTTGGCCCAAGAATAGTTTTAAGACTTGAGCATATGAATTGCTTGCACAAAGTGTAATATGAAACATTAATTTACTGATTGTACGTTTCGGTATCGTAAATACCACCTTATCACCTTTATGGATGAGATACATGTATATGCGAACGGCTGTGCCATAGGCATACAAATGTTGATCTGTCCATTGTCTCCATTTCAAAAAGAATAATGAACACATTTCGTTGACAAAAGACATGTGTAGGTAATTGGCTGCCGGAATCTGATTTCCAATGTGGAGTCCATATAGGCCTACAGTACGTTTCCCTTGAAACAAAGCCAGTATGTTTCTCATCAAAGCCTGTGATGGGCAAAAGTGGCTTTCATTAAAAATTTAAGCTACGATGTTGATAGCCTAAATGTTTACGGGGTTTAAGGAACTGCATATACAGTTATAGTTATGTTCACAACATCAATCCCTCTTTTCTATCAATCTCTAGATCGAACCCATTAGGCTGTTTTGGTGGCATTGGTACAAACGTTTTTTGTGTATACTTATAGGTGATTCAACCAGCCTCAGTCAACACGAGTTGATGATTGGTCTTGAAAGAGAAAGTCAGAAAGTAAGTTACATGCAGCAGAGCAATAAAAAGACAAAGTTGACTGTTAGTAAAACCTCAGCTGGAAATGTTTGTTATGTAGTTTTAAATAAATGTATGAATGCTAAGTTGCAACCGAAGTTTTATGTTCACTAGAAACATATTTTTGTTGCAACAGAGTTTGTGTTAAAAAAAGTGAGCTGTTCAGCTTTCATTTAAACAAGAAGGATAGTCCTACCCTACTAGTCCTACCATACTTGCAATGGGAATCGATGGGTTTTCCTAATATGTAGCTTAAATCACAATAATACCAGAGTGCACTTTAACCTGTGAATAACAAGGAAAAGTTAGTTTTGTGTCTGCAAATGTATAGTTATCCTCTTATTTAGTCTAAAAATAACCGGCTCATTTTCTCGAGGTCATGGGTTATCAACCTTTTAACTTTTAATTTCTCCTAGTTGTTGGCAAGGCGGGGTAGCATGGGGTATGTGGCACAAATACAGTCCAAATTTGAGCCATTTATGAATAAATAGTCGTTCAGGCTATTATAGAAGCAGGATATGGGTTTAAAGTAAAGGAGATAATGTTGAGTGAGAAACAAAACAGTGAGCACTAATAAAGAAAGAATCATGTCAAACTTTGGCGGTACGCTACTGTGAAGCACGGTGGACGACAGTGGTGATAGTGCGTTAGCCCTCCACCGGTATAAATATACACATAATGTTATACAGTTTATCGAACAACAACGTTTAGGTGATACATCTACTTTTCTATAGTATGGTGTTATTAGGTACAAGGAACAGTGCCAAAAATCATTTGGCAGGTACTGGTATTAATATTTTCCCCAAAGCTGGCAATTCGCTCATTGAATGTGACAATGATAACCCGTAAACGAAGTTAATTTGCAGCTCATGATCAGTTTGTAAAGGCTTATTTGCTTCTTCTTCTTCTTTTTAAATTTTTTTTTGGCTTGATGACCAGGGTGGCCCTGCACACCAACCTCACTCATCATCAGCAGGTTAGTAATAATATAGGTTTTCCCGGCCAATTTCACCAAGTTTTCATTTAATTTAACGCCTGGCTCATTCGATTTAGATTGAAATTGAAAGATCGTACAGATCGGCATTCGACAATCAAAAAGAATCCTTCAATTTCACTATCCAAGCATTCTATAGCCTTTTAGCTTCACTCGTCCCTATCAAAGATGCATTCATATTAAAAGTATCGCGTTGTTCATTTAATTTCGTCTAAACCATTAGTAAGGAGTTGATCGGGCATTCGTTTTCATTAATGGGCAAACATGTTCTACATTTTGCCAACATCATTACGACTTCATACGTGTCCGTATTCCTTAGCGTAAATCGTATTTGATGACTTCAAACCGTAGATTAACTTTCTTTCTTAATTAGACGGTATGTGCAAGGAATTTTTCTCATGAATTCTTTTTGCGCAACTCTGTGAAATGTAAGAAAACTACGCATTTGACAACAATTTTTGGGTTAATCTTATTGCAAATGTCCACTTCTTCAAACATTTAAAAGTGTCCATGCTTTCCGGACTAATGCTGTTACTGTGATGTCATTTCAGGAAGACACTGTTCAGTTTAGGGTTTTTCTTTCAAATTATTCATCTAAAATTTGCTAATTGAAAACATTTGTGGGAAAGGGTTGGTAATTGGCTTACTGCCAAGTACTGACACATCATATAATCACCAAATTAAAGAAATTGATGACAGCAAAATATCCAAAATTCTAGCATTTTTTTTTTGCTGAAATAACCGTGTTTTCTAATGAATAAGAAACTTTGCATTAGCATAAAAACGGAGAAGGCACCAAAAACACCCATCAAAATGGAAAATAAAACATGCCAATAAGATTAAATGTGACACAAAGATGTATTTTCAAGGTTTGCATTGAAGTCTTTGCATGGGTCCTGTGAATATGGTAAGTGTTCTGTCAGACATACGCAACAAAACATTTAAGAAATAACGCAAGAGAAGTGTTCCCGACGGTACAACCATTGCCAAACATACGTGTCCCGATGTCTTACACGTCAAAAAATCGTCAACGTAAAAAAGCCCCTTGATCAAACGTTTAAACAAGTATGTAGAAAAGATCAACAGTGAAAAAGAAATTATCTTAGTCCCTTTCAATTCATTATTTCGTTGCATCTTGTTTCCCTCATATCAGTTGATTTGTAACATTGTAAATTGTACAGTCATCAAGATTTTTTTTTTTTGGAGGGGGGGGGGGAAATGAACCTCGGAGAAAAATAGGAAAAAAAATATCAATAAAAAAATCTTACTTATTTAAATGACCAAACGATGAAAGTGATTGCCCATAAACGAATAAGAAACGAAAAGCATGGTTATACGTTATAAGCGCACAGATGTTCGCTAATTTGAATGCGTCAACCGTCAAAAGGTTGCAAAGACTTAATTTCAGACTGCTACAAGTTATGTCTTGAATGCACCAAAACGAAATAGGCTGCTCGAAAACGAACACGAACATTCACAGCAAAATCTTGGCTGCCTAAAAATGATATTGAATGAACCCCAAATGAAAAAGAAACCGCAATCGGACCACATGTGCAAGACTCACGCGAAATTGAATGGCAGATAATGAAACTGATTAGAAAAAATCGGAAATTCGCCGGAAAAACCTATATTATGTTCAGAATTATATAATTATTCACATTTAATTACAATTAAAGTGTGTAGACATGGGCGTCGCCAGGATTTTTTGTGTAGACCCCCAAATGGGACCACGTCCTAACCACAAACGTAGCTGCACAGTTTCCAAATACCGCACCCCACAATGACCACAACTACTGTTGCAACTGTAATCATGAATTACACAGTTGTGCATTTGGGACATAAAGCAATGTGATGTTTCTGATTACAATGTATTCAACAATGACTTCTTTGTATGATAGCTTCACAAAACCAGGCAACTGAAACGCAACCACGTGGCACAAGCAGGAAGTCGTTGATTCACGACGAAGTCATTGAAAAGGTTGTATCTAGGAAAGGGGACATGAAACCTACAGATGTTGGACCCACTCTTAACATCTGGGATTTTGCCGGCCAAGATTTGTACTACACAACGCACCAGGTAAGTAACATTTGTTTGGGTTAAATATTGACATGTAATTCTGTGCTGCATGGTTGTGCATCAGCTATGGCACGTAAACATTATACAACAAAAAAATGCCTTCAGGGAAAACTAGCAAATTGTACTGTACTGGTGTAACAAGTAGATGTATGTTAATCTTATCATCATACTATCTTACTGCTTGAATCCTTTTCATTCTTAAACTCAAAAATACTGAAGATTGCATGGTGCGGGCCAAGTTGAACAACCTCGTCCTTCACCCCTATTAAAACAGTCCATTTCAATTTGAAAATGGGCGTGGCTTTTTAGACCACAATTAAATGTTTAAGGAGCTTAATGTTTATTTGAACTTGTTGGAAAATTGTTTTGTATCAGTTGTATAGAACTTAACAAATTTAACAATCAAAAGTCTTAAACATCATATAAAATTACTAGATGGAGGCCTACTTTTTTTTAAATTAACACGTTTTAATCTTTTTGCAGACATTTCTGTCTTCTCGGGCGATCTACCTGGTTGTTTTCAACCTCAGCCAAGATCTTGATGAACCAGTTACGCTACCAGATAATGCAACATGTAACGATGTAAGCACAATTTATTTTGTATCAAGATTCACTAAAACTGGTCTGATGATCATTCAGACATTCACGTGTACAGAACCACACAACGAACGTCTGATATATCCCTGCGTGCAAATTGTATGCAATCCCGCGCGCAAGCCAATCAGAGTCGACTTTTGAAATAGTGACGTCATTTTGATCAAAACGTGCACTGAGATGTTGAATGGTCAATTTGGCTGCCATGTTTTTGTAATATAACAACGGGTTAAGGAAGACGCGATAGAAGACGCCCGCTGAATGGTCAGAATCTGGAGGTCAGGACGCAGTCTTGTTATGCATAATTAATCACCGAATCTGCGCGAATATCATAGACGCTTGTGTGCAAGCGGCTATTCCGTAGACTACATACAATTCTGATCGACTCACAAATAGTTTTATAGTTTTTATATAGTGATCTGATATATATCCAGAACAAACCATGTCTTTGAGCTTATTAAAGATATGCTAAATTTCAAAATGGTTATGGTTCAGTGATAGCAAACAAAAATGCTGATATTGCTCGGGTGAATCAAGCAGACACGCAGTTACTACCATGATTGGCATGTTTTAGAGCACCGTGTGTCGGGAAACTAAAGACTTTGCCTTGCCTATACCTGTTTGTGTAACTTCTTTAGTACTTTAACTATACTGTATAGGGACTGATTGACTTCCTACCAATTTGGTTATGTTAAGAACGAGTACATACAAGTTCCCACAAAAAATCCAAGTTCACAATATTTTTCAAATGTACATGTAATTGCAGAATGTGCATAATTCTTATTAGTTTCACACCTGAAAATGATTGTCAGATATCACTATACATGTACAAGTTCTTGTAGCATGAGAAGTCAGTGAATGTGTTGGTTGTACATGTACATGTTGGTATGACAAACAGAACAGCAGATTACATGTACAGTGTCCTTAAAACAAATAGCAACCTGGGAAATTGTAGAATATAAATTTAATGAGAGACTCACCAGTTACTATTCCTTCACTGCTCAAACCAAATAAATGTTCCATCCCAATCCCAAATTCTCCAAAATTCACACAGACTTGCATTTACGGTATTGCTTACTGACGTTTAATTGCCAGCAAGCCATACTTCATGCTGGTTCATGTTCTGACTTACGAGGATGGGATACACTGGTAACTTCAGCTACACTGTTCAGGTCTCTAATCACGTTCTGGACAGGAGCTTATAGTATTAACAAAAGTTTTCCTGTCCGTAATTGCGTCTCAGATAGCATCTTTGTATAATTCCACTAGGGGAGCGGTGGTTCTGTGCCATATAGGAAAACCCCTATCCAGTATCTGGATTTCTGGATGCAGTCAATTTTCACCTACACCAAGAAAAACTGCTCTCGAAAGGAATTGAAGCAGAATTCCCCGCCAATATTCATTGTTGGTACTCACAGGAACAGTGTTGGTCAGAAGGATATTTCAGAAGACCAACGTAAACTATTGGTAAGTCCGACCTTTCTGTATAATTTATGTCGGAAAGGGAATGAGCAATTGTGGTTTAACACAAATTCAAGTGCGTAGGCGGTACTAGTGAGAAACGATTTTTTATAATTTGATTTAACAAGGAGTGCCAGGTGATATTTTGTGTCTCAAGGTTGGGCAATACTAATTTTTTCCAGTCATTGTTCATGTCAAAAGACTTGTGCGTGGCTAGTGTGCCACACAGAAGTCTTCTGGCCTCAGCTCACCTGTCTTTTGTTTAAGTGTAGATACAGAAAATATTTGACCGGCTTCGAGATGAGATCAAGGACAAGCCGTACTACACCCATGTGGTTTCTAAATTCCACGCAATAGAGAACTCTCTAGAAGACAACACAAAGGTATTAACATAATATTTATGCTGAAAAAAAAGCAAATGGAATAACTATAAAATGAAATTTGACTGAACTAGGACTAATACAAAAACTCAAACTTTTATCCTAACGGTGTTTTTCAACCCTTGTTTTTTTGTCAAGTCGGGTAAATGGCACAAGTTACTATGGACTAGTCCCCCGAAGGAAAAGAAAAGAAACGGGAGATATCAAGATGTAAAGGTACAGTTAAACTCAAGTGACATCATTCTCACTACAGTGTGTACTAATGAAGTACGTTTTATAGTGGTCAATGGAATATCCATTAAAAAAGCACGACATGAGTAAATGTCATGAGATGAATCTGAGATAAACAAAAAACAGCTTTTATATTGAAAAGAGACTTGGGACTGGTAAAAGGTGCCATATAAGCACCTCATCTTTATTGATATTATTATATCCCGAAACAGATTCAAGAACTACGCAAGCACATAGAGGACGTAGCAGTAGAAGAGCCTTACATGGGAGAGAGAATCCCTTTGAATTGGCTGATATTTGATGATGAGAAGGAAATGTTAAGTTGTGGAAAACCTATTATGACACTGAAGCAGGTACTATTCATGATACATAGCTTTAGTACTGGCAATGTACCCTTCAAAATGTGAAATGAACTCCTTTATTGTTCAAATTCTCGCAGAGGTTAACTGTGTTCCAAACAGGCATACTTGGGAAACTGATCCGTAGTTTGTGTATAATTGCTGGTGATACCAAGTTCATCAGATGCAGTTTATGATTAGCTATTTCCGTGGCTGACTCAACATGAGCCTTTTATTAAACAGCTGGTTGGTTGGAACTTAGTATTAAGTAGTAGAATGTCTAGCATCCTCCAAATCAGGGATTGGTGAAAATCCGCAAACATTGCATGTGAAGGACCATCTAGGGTTTAACAAGGTTGTTAGAGCGCACATTTGAGCAGTTATGTTAGGCTCGCTTCAACGTTGAACTTTTTTAATTAACTGCAATCGACAAAAAGCAGGAGATGTTGGGCAGTTGTTTCAAACATCGATTTTCTGTTGAACGTAATACGGTCGTTCAAGATGGCGGACCAGGTCAGGAGACATAGACTTGTAGACCTCAGTGGTAATTGCGTGTATGGGTGTTTGAGACAACCATCAAATTAAAGCATTTTTCATCATCTTTTAATTTCTGTTCAGATCTTGTCTAGGGTAGTTTGATGACTTCGGGGAGAAAATTCCGGCTAAAGATAATCACCCCTAAAAGTAGTCCTTCGGCCCATCGCCATTTTAAAAACACTTGCATTCCGTTGCAAAAAAAGGGCAATTTTAGGGCCCAATTCCACAGAAATACGAGCTCGCAGTCCTGTGCACGGCTTCAACCCACCTCTTGTTTTTTTAAACCTCCATGTTAATGGCCCACAAAATGCTCTTATAGCGAAAAAAATAAGGACGTACAAATCGTGGCCGCGTAGATAATTTTGAGCCATTTTACTGGCCTGCACCCATAAAATAACACAACGAATTCTTTCTGTGAGAAAGAGGCATGCTCTCCTTCAACAATCAATGTTATGGACATGTTTTTAACAAGAGAGTTTCATTGCTTGTTCGTTAATCCTGCTGCTCCTTCTTTCTAAAATTAAAAAAGCCACAGCATCCCGATCCGGCCGACATTTAGTCAATAATACTGGTTGGCTGGACGACGCTTAATTCGAATTCGGAGAAGAGATTCAAAAAGGCGTTTCGGTATCCAAGGTAACCTTTGAAATCCGATTTCATTCAATGAAAACTGGAAACATAGATTTTTGCAGCAATACCACGTGTGTTCAAGATTTGCGATGATGGGTGAAATGAGAAGAGAGTTGTAGACAAAAAGTAATTCAGTGTCTTCATTTGGATACTAGGTAATGGATGGCTTTGGGATTGAAGATGAAACTGAACTGCTGACGATGCTAAAATTCTATCACGATCTTGGCAACATAATATACTTTGGAGGGGATAGTGCCAAAGAAAGTCAGGCGCTGAGAGATGTTGTCATTCTGGATCCAAATTGGCTGATCGATTCCTTCAAGAAGATCCTCACTGTTAAACCTCCAAAAGAACAGGTAAGTCTATTATGCTTAGAAGATCTTGTGCCTGCAACACAAGTTAATCAATTTGTTTACGGGTGGGTATCACAAAGTCATCTTAACTCCCCTCCCCCTCCCCCCCTCCTCCCTCCCCCCCCCCCCATTACTCAGGTTATTTGATCTGCCAGTCCTACCGGGAAACCACTTAATTTACATGCTATATTACCTTTACGTTTGCTTTCTGTGGGTTTTACAAGGAAAACAAAGGGTAAGCAAGGTTGGTCTTGAAACGAACAAGGTCAATTTTACAGTAATAAGATAAAGAAATAAATGTTTAGGGGAATCAAACTTAAAGATAACAATTGGAACAGCTAAGTCTTGAAAGAAGATTATAGATGTTATTTGCGCTCTAAGTGCACAGTGTCTGTTGCGGCTGCAGAGGTCGGCGTTACACATGGAGCAGATGAAGGAAGATCTTTGCATACTGCAGGCCCTCTTCTGTGCAGCGAGCTGGCTATTTCTTTTGTCCTCCCAAGTGACCATGCGGCTACCCTTGTGTTCAGTCTTTCCGCCAGGTAAACCAGTCTTCCACGTCAGCCTCCAAAGTGTTGTGGTCTGTGTCACAGGCTTTTATGTCCTCCTTGCACGTGTCCTCGATTCGAATGGCTGGATGTCATACGTGGTGGTTGCCAATGGAAAGCTGGATGTTTAGGATACACTTCAGCAAACATTGCAACCGTCATCCGTTCATCGAATATTCCCTCATCAGGGAAGGAGACCCTGCATCAGCAGGGAGAATATGCTGGGATTCCAAGATGAAAGGACCAAGATATCTCAGTGCGGGATTCGATCCTGCCAGCTAGGCAATGCCCAGTATGCATTTGAGGCACTGCTTATAGAAGGTTCACGTCTCGCTTTTGTAGAGCACATGCTAAGGATGCATGCCTGGTGGACAAACATTCTCCCGAGTGTTGGCCATGGGCCAAGTCACAGGCTTTCATGTCCTTATTTCCCTGCCAAATCCGTTCAACATATGTTCCATTAGGACACATTGCTGGAAGTCGCCAATCCCTGGTGAGTGGAGCTATCAAGCACTTCCAGTGCGTGTAGTAACCTTCGTGTAGTAATCTTGATCAACGGGACATATGGATGGCATCCTTAGCACTGATTGGTCTTCCTTAGGCTGATTGTAAGACAATAGCCTCTGCGGGCATGGGCGAAGCTGTCTGTCAGTCCCTTTGAAGAGCTTTCTCAGTGTGAGCTGCAAGGGCGACATTGTCTGCTAACAACTTCTCAACATCTGATTAGCACCGGTCACCTCTTTCACCTTTGTTTTGGCCTGCAGTGAAGCCATTGTGATAATGAGTGTCCCGTCTGACCTTTTGTGTAATTACATGTATTCAGAGGTGTAGATGATGGCATCAGACCGTGGAGCTGATCATTGAAGTCATATCTGATGTCATCGGACGCACACAACTAAGGGGCATACACTCAATTAAGTAAACAATTCTGGAAACTATAGAGTGTGGCAAATTCACAGCAATTGCCGATCCACCTTTGGGCGCTTATATACAGACCCAAGGAGTGACTTCCTGACTGCAGAACAAACTCCAGCTGGCAGGGCTCTTAAACATCTAATTTGTTCTTGTTTTTTCCAAAAGAATGTGCAGTGCGCTTGAGGGATCCACGGAGGGCTGCCATACTCACAATTAGTCTGGCAATTACCTGACGATGATGGCATGCAGTCCTTCTAGTGTCGCCTATTTGATGCAGGTGATATCATCAGAAATTTCTTTGCCCATTGACCTAAGATTCCAGCTTGCGAATCGAAGGAGGGCTGCAATGCTCACAATTAGTCTGGCAATTACCTGACGATGATGGCAGTCTTTCTAGAGTTGCCTAATTGAAGCAGGCCATATCATCAGAAATGTCTTTATCCATTGTCCCAACATTACAGCTTGCGAATCGAAGGAGGGCTGCAATGCTCACAATAAGTCTGGCAATTACCTGACGATGATGGCAGTCCTTCTAGAGTTGCCTACTTGAAGCAGGCCATATCATCAGAAATGTCTTTATCCATTGTCCCAACATTACAGCTTGCGAATCGAAGGAGACTACTTAGACGTTTGTCTTATATCTTGCTCGCCTGTGCAGAATTACGGTTGCTTGTTATGCCGAGATAACAAGCTCCAAGCTGCCATTGTAGCATGCAGACATTGGCAGGTCATCACCTTATTTGGCAGGGGCTTGTCATCTTGGAGCGGGCGGTTCTGACCAGTAGAATATGAGGATCCTACTCGCTACACGAATTAAGTTGGGTTTATTTATGCCTTTGAAATTCAGCCTCCTGTGTTGTTTCCACACTAGTAGTTGAGGTTGAAGTGACCCCACCAGGTCGCTGGCTATGGCAGAGAGTATGGAGAAATTGGGATGCCGAATTAACATTTCCCCCTCGGCCTCACTAATGGGGCCAAAGGAATGCAAGGCATCAGCTTGGCTGTGGGAGCTACCGGAATGGTGTTCAGAGGTGTGCACAATTATACGCATGCATGTTTACGTTACATACCTATCGTGGACATTCCTTTCTATTCGTGTAGTTAAAAAAAAAAACATCTGGGAAAAAACTCATTTTACTCACACTGTGAAAATACTTTCAACCCAAGTTTTTTTTTTCTATAATTCCCCTTAGTGTTCTCTTCATTTTGCCACGGATAAATCTAACCCAACTATTCATCTAAACTCGTTTTCCTTAAAGGGGGAAAAATTGTGTGGACGTGGGCAAGTCCACACAACGTCGCTGCTACCTGGTTTATGTGGACATTTTTTGTTCGGAAATCCACACAGTGAATGTAATGCTTGTACATTTATATTCCAAATTGTGCACACATTTTATACTCTGAGCTTTTTGTTGCGGCTGACTCCTCTCGACTTGGACTCATCTGAGGCATCAATGGTGGGACTCTTTACCCTTAGCTGAGGATAGAAATGGTAGATTGTCGACTAAACTCTATCCGACCCGAATTGGATTCAGAGTTGTTTTTCTCTAGGCAGACTGCCGACTTAGGTTAATTAGCTCTGTCTACCCCAATTTGTGCTCAAGTTCCTTCTCCAAGGCAATACAAGTCTTAAAAGGTCCACTTACCTCGTTCAACCTTGTTTTAATTCAAGGAACTTGCTGAAAATCTCCGTTATTCTGTGGAAATAGATGATTGAACTTGGTTACGAAATGTTAATGTTGAAAAGCTGTGCTGTAAATTGGGATACTTCAGTGAGGATGGAGATGCTCAATTCCTCAATATACCATGGTATATCGTAGCCCAGTTAACCCCAAACTTCTAAACAGGGTTGTTACACTTGGGGTATGTGTTAAGACAGTTAGTTGATATTAGTTTGGTGTTTAAAAGTTTGAAAGATCTTGGTTATTGATAGGAGAGAAATTACAACTTGCTCTTGGGATTATTTTACATGAAATGTGGGATAGCCTCGTCTTTATTAGCCACTTGTTGTCTCAACCTTCCATAATATTTCATTGTGTCATGGCTGTTTCATTGTAATTCCAGCTGCTAATGGACAAGGCCGTATTTTAATACCTTCAAAAGTGGCCGTGGTACTTTTGCATTCGTATGATGCACATGCCCTTTAGCAGTGTCATAACTAAACATATTCATCACTATTTAAATCATGGGCATTTAGTTTTTTACCTGACTAAATTGCCAGACTTGTATTCGACTCACCCAACCTCGAGTCCGAGTCCGAGTCACCACTCCCGAGTCCGAGTCCCGAGTAATAAAGGTCGAGTCCGAGTCCGAGTCCGAGTCACGAGTCACGAAGGTCGAGTCACAAGTCCGAGTCACAAATCACCTTTAAATGTTGAGGGACTGTGAAAACCTCAAATTGTAAATGTTTCACTTTTGTTCAAAGCTTTTCTCTAATTTTATCAAAGAACCGAATATTGGAACTGGAAACGATAATCTGGTACCAAACAGTATCAAGCTTATATTTAAGCAATATCAAGTGTGGACACCGGGATACATGTTGCGATACATTGATTTCCCACACTCATATATTAAAAACAAGCCAGCGTATGTAAAATATCTAGATGCGTTTCCTCTGCACCGCACAGACTGTATCGCTTGCTCAGGAGAGAACCGTCTTGAAAACATTTTGTAATTATATTGAACAAAATAAGTGATTTGTGGTTATTTTAGTCGAGTCCCGAGTCACACAGGTCGAGTCCGAGTCCAAGTCTGAGTCCGCAGGGTAGATTCCTAATCCGTGTCATTTGTCATCGTGACTCGAGTCCGAGTCCGAGTCACAGAAAATGGGACTCATGTCGGACTCGAGTCCGAGTCCGAGGCACGAGTCATACCATTCTGATAATTGCTCAGTTAGAAATAGGTATTTTAGTATCTGCGTCCCATATGCCATATTATGAGTACTCACACACATCAGACAGGGATGATGTGTGTATATGCGCATATTTATGAGCGAGAGCTGAATCAGCTTCCTCATCAAGGTTGAACCTAACCCCGGGGTATACCCTAAGGCTACCCATTGTTGGGCCTCAATTTTTGAAAGCCTAGTTGAACTGTGTGTCGTTTTACCCTTGTTTGGCATAAATTGAGTTTATCTTACCCTTGTGAAGTTCAACCCAAGTTTCTTACGTACGTTTTACACTTTTGTGCAACAGGGTAAATGTCAAGGGCTGCCGCTTCTGTATTTGTTGCTCGACTCAGCATCTGTTCATGTACTGTTGCGCCTAATCAAATCCCAAAATAAGAAAACTTCTAATTCCAAAAGAAGAAGCATGCTTCTTCATATGGAATCAAGGACATGTGCAATGCAGTGAACAAATTGAGTGAAAGCATCTGCCTGTAATCCAAAAAGTAGATAAAACGCCACGAAGTTCAACCCAGGGGAACTTAGCTCCGTTTGTTTTACACTTTCAATTATTCAGTGGTAAGAAATGTTCACCCGTGTCTAGGATTTATCCAATCTGGCGGTTGACATGGGTTTGGAAGGAATTAAAAAAAAAAATCAATTGTGAAAAACTACTTGTTTTAACCCGGCATTATCTTGCCGTCAATCCTGATTTCTTCCAGGTAGAAAATGTCTTGTGAATTTATTTAAACCCTGAATAATTACTGATGAGTTCAACATCTAAATGAACGAAATCATTGTTTTTGTTCCCAATCGAGACCGCAAAGTATCGCAAATCTTGGGATCGACTGAAAGACAAACGAATATTGGAGGATTCGCTTATAGACCACATGTGGCAAGACATCCGTGAGCACAAACAGGCCCTGCTGGATCTGATGGACAAGTTTGACCTTCTCTGTAAGCGTTTTGAAGAGGTATGTTTTGTAAGCATTTACACTTTAAATCTAGAATGTAACAGGCAGTTTTCTGTGTGTGTGGGTGTGTGTGTGGGTAGGCCTATATGTGGTATTTTCGTAGCCCCCAGATTTTTCGTAGGCCCCAAAATTTTTCGTGGGCCCTAGGCACAGTGCCTATTGTTGAATAATCTAGGCTTGGTCATTGTGGGAGGTAACTGTGGGTGGAGCGTGACAAGCAAAATGATCGTCCTGTGTACGGTCAAAACAATGAACACTATTCATGCGTTGTCCGACTGATGTCACTAATAGTCCAGCGGATATGTGACAAAATATCGATGAATTGTGCACTTTTGCATAAAAGCGTGAAACTTGGCACAGATGTTTATATTCATTCATATTTTAGATGTGGAGCCATCGCAAATTTACCATTTTAAGGGGCGGGGCATCTATTTAAAAAAAGAGGGCGGGACTAATTGTCGTGCCCGCAGCGAAAACGGTTTTTTCACTTGTTTCAAAAGCAGGAAACTTCACAAAGACATAATTATATAGATAATTAGTGTTTTCCAGATTCGGAGCCACCACAAACGTACCTTTTTGGGGGCGTGGCAGCCATTAAAAGAAAGGGGGGTTTAATTATTGTGCCCACTTTGGAAAACATTCTGCCCATGTTTCATGAACGAATAAAACGTCCCCCAGACGTTTATATTCATGAGAAAAACAATTCCAGATGCGGAGCCATCGCAAACACACCCTTTTAGGGGCGTGGCAGCGATATTGAAAAAAGGGGGGCGGGGTTCTCATTATGCCCAGTATGGAAAAAATGTGCCCACATCTCATAAAGTAATGAAGCTAATTCCCAAGACATTAATATTCAAGAGAAAAAAAGTCACACGTGAAGCCATTGTGAACACAGCCTTTTAGGGGCGTGGCAGCCATAGTAAAATGGGGGGGGGGGGGTAGTCATGATGCCCCCTTTTAAAGAAAGTCATGCCTACCTTTCATTAATGGATTAAACTCCACACGGACAATATATTCATAAAAATCTTTCTTTTTTTATTTGAAGCCATCACAAAGTTATCCTTTTAGATACATGGCATCTATTTTTTTAATGGGGGGGGGGGTGCTACTAATCATTTGCCCACCATTGAACTTTATACCCCAATTCAGAAATTGCAGCAGTTGAAAGGTTAACAATAATTCTACAGACGACAGAACCAGTAACTGGGTTAATATAGATGAGGCAAGAATGCATACTGTAAAAAACAAACGGTTTGCCAACAGTTACTTTTAACTATAAAGGCGGCCCTACTCCAACACATTAAACAGCTATCTGAGGTGGATTTTATTATACTCTAACACATTAAACAGCTATCTGAGGTGATTTTATTATATGAAACGCGGTTAAAAATTTGCACGTTGTGCATATTGACAGTACCCCCCCCATTTTAATAATGGATGCCGCGCCTCTAAAAGGGTAGGTTTGTGATGGCTTTACATTAAAAAAAAAGATTTTGATGAATATATTGTCCGAGTGGAATTTAATCCATGTATGAAAGGTAGGCACAACTTTCTTTTATAGGGGCATCATGACTACCCCCCCCATTTTATTATGGCTGCCACGCCCCTAAAAGGGTGTGTTTACGATGGTTCCACGTGTGATTTTTTTTCTCGTGAGTATTAATGTCTGTGGGAATTAGCTTCATTCTTTTATGAGATATGGGCACATTTTTTCCGTGTTGGGCATAATGAGAACCTCCGCCCACTTTTTTTTTTAATATGGCTGCCACGCCCCTAAAAGGGTGTGTTCGCGACGGTTTCACATCTGGAATTGTTTTCTCATGAATGCCAATGTCTGTGGAAGTTCCATTTCTCTATGAATATGGGAACAATATCTCCAGGGTGGGCATAATGAAAACCCCGCCCCCCTTTTTTCCTTACATGGTTGCCACGCCCCTAAAAGGGTGTGTTCGAGATGGCTCCACATCTGGATTTTTTTCTCATGAATGTCAATGTTTTGTGGAAAGTTCCATTTCTCTATGAGTTTCGGAACAATATTTCCAGGGTGGGCATAATGAAAACCCGGCCCCCCTTTTTCTTATATGGTTGCCACGCCCCTAAAAGGGTATGTTCGATATGGCTCCACATCTGGATTTTTTCTCATGAATATAAACGTCTGTGGGACGTTTTATTCGTTCATGAAATATGGGCACAATGTTTTCCAAAGTGGGCATTTAGATGGCTCCACATCAAAAACATTTTCTCGCATGAATATAAACATCTGTGCCAAGTTTCACGCTTTTATGCAAAAGTGCACAATTTTTTTCACATATCCGCTGGACTATAAGCCTTCTCAGAGGTCCAAAAGGTATTTCAGCTAGGATTTGACTACTATAATATAAATATTTCATCTTGTGAATAGTGTAAATATTTTCCACTTTAGCCTCGGGAGGAAGAGAAAAGTAGCACTGCTTCATCCACGGCCACACAGCCTCGTCCCACAAATGCATCTTACTATGTGCCTTCAATGTTGCGGCAGCAGACATCACGTTCACTCCAACTGGAGACAACCGAGAATAACTCAAACGTGTTCTATGTGGACTTCAAAAAATTCCTCCCTGGTAAGTCAGGACTGGCATGCCGTTAAACAGCAAAAAAGTTGGGGGGGGGGTATTAAACAGAACAGTGTCACTGATTTTGACGGCTCCATACAGTAGTTAACAAAAAACGGAGGAGCACCTTTTTCGTGCATGTCTGTGTGCATGTCTGTGTGCTGTATGTTTTTTGCCGGTTTTTTTTATATTCGTATGCCTTACACAAGTTATGCTGTCCTAGGTTCTACCTTTGATTAAAGTAAGTCACAACCTCTCTTTTATTGCGTTTTTTATTTACAGTTCGACAAAGAAACGGACTGGAGCGGCGGTGGATCTTGCAATCTCTGAATTGCCATTCCGGTGCTCTACCATCTGGGGTATATATCCCTTATCTAAGCAAATCCCTTTATTTGATTTCTTTTCAGATGGATTGTACCATCGGTTGGTTGTGCGAGCTTTGCGATGGTCTCAAGATTTGGGTGGAGCAAAATCAGCGAATCCCCTTCTGCTCTGTGATCAAGCAAATTTCTATGTAGATGACCATCATAAGTTTGCCCTGCAAATGGTGCACCAATCAAACCTTGCATACATCAAAGTAAGTACATGGTGTTAGAAACAGCACCTGTTTAATTTTCTGGTTGTAGACAAAAATAGTGTTGATGTAGCAAAGGAGGGGCTTCAAACTCTTTATATAGACAGAATGGTCTCCGTGCACAGGTACCCCTCATAGGTTACAACAGCAAAGTTTGGGAGACCACCGGGATGGCAAACTTTAAGCCTTGAAAGTTCGTGAGGAAAGTGTACGACCTCCCTTCCTATCTATTATTGTTTGTGGAATTCACATGCTGTATCCGATACTTTAGCAGTATTTCAATGACCATGACCTTCTCTGTGTTTGTAGGTGAGTGTCATGAGAGTGGAAATGTATCCACCTCCACGACATGTCAAAGCACCTTCAGGTGATGTGACATGCAAGGTATGTTAGGTATTGCAAAATATAGTATGCCAAAAAGTGTTTTAAAAAAATGGCCATAAACTTTTTGGAATAAAAAAATCTCACGTTCAATGAGCATTTGATAGTTGTGGGTAATGGTAAGGTTTTTTTGCATGCACCCTCCGATCTCTGCTTACAAAAAGCTTACACTGAAAACAAACCAAATAATTTCACCTCAGAAAACATACAGACTAGTAGGAAACTATAACGTTAGCAGTTTTTCTTGCAGTACCACAAGTGCATGTTTAAAAAAAGGTACCTCACATTTTGAAGGGTATGGGTGTACATGTACTTGTTCCTTGCATTTGTATGAAAAGAGGCCGGGGACTATGCATGAAGCACGCTAAAAACATTGCATTATAGTTTTATTTTTCCCTTCGTGAGTGTTGTTTTGTGTAGAATACATAGTTGTAAGACTGTTGTATTGTGGAATCGTCTCTCTTTTTTCTCTTTTTACAAAATGGAATTTCAATGTGGCAAAAACAGAAATAAGTAGAATGTAATTATGTTTCACAACAGGTTAAAGACTTTGTGGAAGAGCATCTGCAGGACTTGAAAACCATGTGGATCAAGCGAATAAACTACTGCATTAGTGTGCAGTGTCCTGATAAGAAGGTTTTCCACTTTCTACCACTGAATGAATGCATGGCAAAGCCAACAGTTGTCTGCGTCTTTGAGACATCTCATTCAGTCATCAAAACGTATGAAATCCAAGCCATGTTCAAGGAGGAATGCTACGAGGAAGAAGCTTCCGCTCCCGGTAAGTGAAGGCAGTGGCTCAAATCAGTGTCGGTGCGTGGGGGGATTGGGAGTGACAAAAGATCCCTAGTGTCATGATACAAATGTGCATCTTACGCAAACTGGCGCGCTTACAAGGGAGACATCAAGATGACATTCAGGTACTTTCCTTGCCTTCCAATGCTGTGACTTGGGTTTGAATCCCGCCAGCTGGTTTTTTCAGTCCCTATCTGATTCTTTGGGTTTCCACCAGAATAGTTTTCTGTGGTTCTCCTCCCACCTCTAAAACTGTAATTTGTTCTCACACTTGTCTCCTCTCTACAGATTTGTTTTCAGGCTTGCGATGGCACCTAAGTTGAGGAATACTTCGTTTCGCTAACGAAATTGAATAAAAATAAAAATGATACTAAAACAAATTATATCTTTACTTGTTTCCTTTCATTTCCGCTGAATTAACAAAATTGTGACTGGAAAGAACTTGTATTAAAGCTTAGTGCGTCATTAGAAGTGCATGCAAAATATTGCGTTGGGAATTTCGACTTCATCATTCGGTCTGTGTTTACTTGTACATTTATACTAACATTTTGAGGTTGGTTGACAGTTGACTTTTGCTATTATATGGTCTATACATCAGGCATGCAAGTCTTCCTCAGATATGCTGATCTCCTCTTTGTTAAACTTCTCTTGTATTCCCTTAAAAATTAAAAAAAAAACGCAGAGAGTCTTGTAAAGCTTTACTTTTCCTCCTTCTTTTAGTGACTTTTCATTTGCATGCCTGATACATATACATGTATATTATATAGGGTGGCTTTGAGTTGATAAAATATTCTGAAACTGCTTCTTTATTTTTTGCTATCAGTGTAGGAGTGAGTATCAGGCAGAAGTGTCCATCCGTTGAACATAGTAACTTTAATCGCACTGCCACATTAGCAAGGTTAATTGAGGTCAACGGATGATGCACTCATCGGGGACTTTGCACATGCCTCCAGATTTCTCTAATCATTTGGACCCTATTTACCCGCACCCCGTTCTTCATTGCCTTTCTCTATACAGTGGCGTAGCACGGTCATTTTTATTAGAGGGGTATAAACACTTCTGGAAAAGAAGGGCACTTGCACATGAAAATGGGAGCGTTGTTCAAAACCGACAACTATGCATACCAACGGACAAAACTTTTATATGGCGCTTTTCAGAGCGATACATGCGTGAAATAAAAAAAAACACCCGGAACGGCCGGTGGCATACAAAAACCATATTTTATTTCGATTTTCAGATTTTCAGATTTTTAAACATTATTCACCAGGGCCTACCATTGCACAAAGTTTCAAAGCTTCAAGAGCTTCACTTTAATATTTACGCTGAGTATCCATGGCCAAGGGCGGATCCGGGGGGGGGGGGGGGCAAAGGGGGCCATGCCCCCCCCCCCGAAAAAAAACGAAACCATTTTTTTTTAAATGTGATTTCGCAATAAAGGCAAGCAAAAACAATGGTTAAAGTGGTCAGAAATTGCCTCAGATCGCACCACAGAGCATCTAGAATCCAAACAAAATTCGGGGCCCTTGAGCGGGCCCCGAACCACACGCCGTAATTTTATTGACTCACTTTTTTGGGGGACCAAAATTTCTTTTTGGCACCCAAACAATTGTGTTCTGGATCCGCCCTTGTCCGTGGCAAGTTTTCACGAAGTAACACTCAAGTTCCATTTACCATTGCAATGCATGGCGCGCACTCATAAGTGAGCAAAAACTTGTTCACGAAGTAACACTCTTCTAGTAATAAGTTGTATGAGCGCGCGCGCGCTGACCTGAAGTTGCACTTTCCTCGTACATTGAAGAGTGCTACTTCGTGAAAACGAAAATTTACAGTTTTGCAGCCTTTTCGGTTTCACGAACTAACACTCATCTTTTCCTCTTATTTCTTGAATACACAAACGGGTGAAAAACATCAGATTTAATAAATTCAATTCATCCATTGTCCACAACGAGAAACCCAACTGAAAATACTCTGTCGCTTTGACGCAAAGTGTTGTTTTAGAAGGCGTTGTTACAACTGATAATGTAGTAACCAACGAATAACGTATCACCAACCGATAATGTATCACAAATTGACCGATATTGTATCACTAACCGATAATGTAGCAAAAATTGACTGATAGTGTAGTAAAATTTGTATCCCATAATGTATCACGTGTCGACGGATAATGTAACTATACTACAAGATAACTGTATCCGATAATCTATCACCACCGAACGGATACTGTATCAACAGATAAAGTATCAAAAATCAACCGATAATGTATCAGTATGGGGAAAAGGTGTACACAAATGTTTGTTTTATGTCCGATTATCCCGCCCCACTTTTTGACCGGGGAGAGGGGTCTGGGCTATTGGATCACCCCATCCCATTATTTCGTATTTAGAGAAAAAAGGCAGATTTTGAGGTATTTTTCAAACTTTCCAACCGCCGAAATGTATTAAATAGTACTGAGAAAGGGAGAAAAAGTACAAAAAGCTTGAAATGCGCTGATACATCTGTATCATGTACAGCGCCCCCAATGTCATGTGGTCTCCAGCAAGCCCCCCCCCCCCCTCTCTTGTTGAATTTCACGGCCGGGATTTTTTTTTTTTTTAGCTATCCCTCATCTCCCAGTCCCCGGCACAGATTTATGCTACTGTTGCAGGGGCGGATCCAGGAATTTTCACAGGGGGGGGTGTCTCATCAGCAAAAAAATCTGAAAATTTGCACAGGTTTTTTTCTCCGGGCCACACTTGGCCTCCGTAAAAATCAAAAACTGGGGGAAGGGGTACCATATTTCAACGATCCGACGATCCGACGATTATTAACACTGGATTACAAAATGGTGTACAAATACCCCCTATCTAAGCTGCCTCCGTCCGTATTTTGAACATGCGGACATTATACCAGTATAATTTTTTTGGGTGTCACAGCGGCGGGGGGGGGGGGGGGGGGGGTTCGCATTTTTTTTAGGAATTTGTATGAACATTTTTTTTGGGGGGGACACAGCTGGGGGGGGGAGCGTTGACCCCCCTGGATCTGCGCCTGTGTTGGCCTCAAGGAAGCGGCAAGCTCGTGACGTTTGGACTGCAAACTGTGTGGGTTCAACAAACTGAAGACAGTGGGTGGACAAATAACAACGGACGTCACATGCGAACGGTGCCCCCCCCCCCTTAAACAGTAATATAGTATTATTATACAGTAATATAGTGTACATGATTGTAGGTTTCTATCAGCGCTCCCCGTTGAAAATATGGCACGAGCCCCTCCCACCCCTCCCCCTCCCCCTCACCCCCCCCCCACCACCACTCAATGAGCAGTAATGCTGTGATTGTGCCCTTTTAAAATCTGTAAGAAACAAAAATCGACTTGGGTCGACAAGCGACTCATGTAGCTTGATCGCATCTAGACTATGTTCCCTTTAAGGACGATTGCCGCCTAAATCCCAACGAATTGTTAATCTTTTTACATTGTATCTTTTGTGACAGCTCAAGTTACACGATCATTTTAGATGGTAGTTTTGCTATACACATGCCTCGCCACTCGTGTGTGTTCTCGGTTCATCCACTGCATATTTTGAATGATGTAAAGTTAGCTGGGAGACCATCGCAAGTTAAATTGTACGTATGCGTGCGCCGACGTTGCCTGACGCTCATGCGAAGACGCTGCGGCTAATAGCCTTGGCACATTCTCGAAGTGGTGTGAAACTTTGCGCGCGAACCAGTACAGTACAGTACGCACATGCTGTGTCCCGTTAATTGATCTCCATACGGAGATCAATGGTCCCGTACGTCAATGGGGCTCTCAAAAGTGGTAAAACGCGCCCTCTTGGTGGGAGCACTTAGCCCATACGAAGGCCAAGGGTCCGGAGAAAAGAACTTGTCCACATTTCGGCGCGGATGTGCGAGTGCGGTTACCCCCCCCCCACACACACACACCGACATCAAAAGCTGGATACGCCACTAGCCTAGGCCCACTTGGAAGTAGAGCGTCTCCAAACCAGAGCAATTCCCTATCTCCCAAATTCAAAAAAAAATATTCTTAATGATAAACTTTCCCGAGTGGGGATTCATTATAGTAAAGGCACTTATTAGACTTTAATTAATTTGCAATATTTCCACCTTTTCCCAATACTGATACATTATCGGTTGATTTTTGATACATTATCGGTTGATACAGTATCCGTTCGGTGGTGATACATTACCGGATACAGTTATTTTGTAGTTACATTATCCGTCGACACATGATACATTATCGGATACAAATTTTACTACACTATCAGTCAATTTTTGCTACATTATCGGTTAGTGATACAATATCGGTCAATTTGTGATACATTATCGGTTGGTGATACGTTATCCGTTGGTTACTACATTATCAGTTGTAACAGGCGTTCAACTTTAGTTGCCGTTTTCTCCGATTGCTAGTTTTTACTGGTATGTAGTTGGGTATTACTTCGTGGTGTCAGGCAAATCTTAAAAAAAGGGGCACTCTTTACAAATAATGGGGGGGGGGGGATGTTAAGCCCCAATAAAAAAAGGGCAATTGAATAGAAAAGGGCAGTCTTTACAAACTATTGGGGTGGGGGAAATACCCCCCTAACACCCCCACCCCTACCCCCCGCTGGCTACGCCTATGCTATATGTTTGGTACAGTTCATTGATTTAAATGGTTTGCTTTGTGGAAAACGACGACAAGCAATCGAGCCTATTTCTATCATTCTCTTTTTTTTTGCAGAACCACGTTTAGATGACAAAACTCTGGCGGCAGTCGCCAAGAGACTCGGTGCAGGTTGGGCAACACTGGCAGTTGAGCTGAGCTTTACGATGGTAGAGGTTCAGACTGTCGAGAAAAATAACGAAAACAATATCGAAAGGCAAAGTCTGGAAATGCTTGTAACATGGAAACAAACCCAATCCACCCGTGTTGAAGAGCAGATAACCACGTTGTGCACAGCATTGAAGAACATCGGAAGAGCAGATATAGCCGCATTTCTGCACGGGTAAATAGGCCTACGTGTCTTTGCTAATGTGTAATATAAATGGAATTAAAGAACGACATTACTTGCAAAAACTCGTTTTCAGTAAAATTACAATGGGTACAATCAGGCCATAATTATATACATGTATGCTCTAAACCCATTTATTGGGTTTTTGTAAGCGGTTGCACGTCTATGACTGTATACTCTAATGGCAATGAAACCGCAACAAATCATGTAACCTTGTGTTTTCCTTAGAAAAAAAGCAACAAATAATATAGAAAGCAGTATTTGAATTTTCTTTTTGATTTACATTAAAAGAAAAAATTCCTTGGAATACGTGATCCACAATTCCAGGAGACCACTGAATCAGGTATTAATTTGTGACTTATTTACTGCTTATTTACAAACTTTGAATTTGTGTTCCCCGTGCTCTTCAACAAATTCGATTTTTCTATTGACACATTTCCAAAGACTATGTTTTACTCCAACCAAAAAAAATTTAATGTTTTAATTTCAATACCAACAAGGAATTTCTGATTAAGGCAGCATGGATTAAGTCGGAACGCGTCTGGACCCGTTCGCACCAGTCCGGACGCGCTCCTCTGAGTTCCAAGCCGAACAAAAGATGTTTTGGAAGCAGTGGGGCTCACTGGGACTCAGTTGCACGCAAAGGAATGCAAATGTAAAGCTATAATTTTCCTCCTTTTGTTAGTGACTTCTCAGTTGCATGCCTGATACATATACACTGTACAAGGGTGGCTTAATTTGTGTTGATAAAATATTCTGAAACTGCTTTATTTTGCTATCAGTGTAGAAGTGAGTATCAGGCAGAGTTTGGATCCATTGATGATAGTAACTTTTTTCCGTACTGCCACATTAGCAAGCTAGGTCTATTTAGGGTCAACGGATGATGCACTCATCAGGGACTTTGCACATGCCTCGAGATTTCTCTTATCATTCGGACCCTTTTCACCCGCACCCCGTTCTTCATTGCCTTTCTCTATATTTGTGGTAATGTTCATTGATTTAAATGGTTTGCTTTGTGGAAACAGAGGACAAGCAACCGTTTAACGACATCCACATGAGAGAGATAGCCAACGAGCTCGGCAAAAACTGGGAGAAATTGGCCACTTACCTGCATTTCACACAAGACGACACGTACAAGTTTGTGACAAACTCGCAAACTGGTGTCGATGGTGCGATTTTCGACATGCTTACAACATGGAAGCAGAGGTTCAAGGGAGGAGAAGTGATGAAGATGAAAAAAGAAATGGCGGAGGCACTTGAATCGATTGATAACTATGTATTGGCTGAGAAGGCGCGGAATTACTAAGACAACAGCCAGCCCTACATTTGTAGTGCAGGTAGTGTGCAGTGGAGAGCAGGATTCAAGGGGTTGCTTGAGGTAGGCTAACTATACCCCCACCTCCACAATCAGTATGACTAATGTTGATTATTTACACACAGTTTTAATGGATAATCGGCCCTTTTTTTTAATTGTACAGAAAGAATACGGCCATACAACATTGCACATCTTAATTAAGTTTAATGGTTAGATGCTTTAGTGTCTCTATGCATCGACTTCAACACCCCAACCACCTCTTCCACTGGACTGCAGTTAGGGTTGGGGTGGGGTTTCAACTTCCACCCTCCGCCGTTCCCCTGCCCCTCCCTCCTCTGGTGGAAGGAGGCTGAAGCCAGTAGTGTAGTGCGTTGCTGTATTATCCGTGGGTTACCTACTTGACAGTAGTGTATATCTTAAAAAGTTACAACAAGTGAGTCAAGGTTTTATTTATTCTCATAAATAAATCTCATTTGGCTCATTGCAGTATGAGTATGAAGTTTCCCTAGTTATCAACACACATTTGTGTCCTTTGGTACAGCCGTAGTGTATATTATTGTTTCCTGCCCCGTACTTAAATCACACCTTTTCTGCTTAGGCAGAAAGGCAGACGTCCACTTTTCGTCCCCCATACTTTACTGTGCCGAAACATTTTACGATCTTGTGAATTATTGGTTTGATGTGTATGAATGAAATCAAATATTGAGAAGACAAACTTCAAAATGATATCATTTTAATTCTTATCTTGAAACATTCCTATTTCCTTGTAACTAACTTGTAACACTGAAGAATTGTTGTAGAAGAACCTTACGAGTTAAGAGTACAACAAATATGAATCGACATATTTTAACAAATAATTTGGGATGACTGTATAATATTACACAGTCTATTGCATTTAATATGCCATGCTGCCAAATGTAACATTTAGATATTGCTTTTGAAGCCGTTATCAAATGGCTATGACCAGCTGCAGTGAGCTGTAAAGGATGGTGTGCCTTAACTGTGCAGAAACATATTTTAATTCACGATATATGGTGAATGTGTTTCATTTTTAGATGTGTGCGCATGAAATCAAATAACTATTGAGAAAACAAAGTTAACCTCTAAATGATGTTAATTCAACCTTAACTTGGAACATTCCTGTAATCTTTGTTACTAACTCAATCTCAATCAAACTGAACATTTGCACTGTAATACTAACAGTGTTGTGGAAGTGCCTTGGGAGTTACGAGTACAAGAAATGAATCAACATATTTTAAAACAAATTTTGGATGTCTGTTTAATATTAGACAGTTTAATGAAATTAGTATGTCATACTGTCAACTGTAATTCACATATTGCTTTTAAAGCTGTTTTAGAAAGGTATATCACTATAGCATGTTGTAAGGATGGTGTGTATAATTGTATGCATACACATATTTTACGATATATCTGGTGAATTATTGTTTTGATGTATGCGTATAAAATCAAATATCAGAATAATCAGGAGACAAACTTATTCTTAATTTGACGTCATTATAATACTTATCTTGGAACACTCCTTTTATCTTTGCAACAAACTTCATCAAACTTCGAAGATTTTCACTGTAATTCAACAGTGTTGTAAAAGTGCCTTAGGAGTTTGGAGTACAAACAAATGAATCCACATATTTCACAAATAATTTTGGATGTCTGTTTAATATTATAGTGTGAAATGTATGACTGAAACAATTGTCTGGATGTAAGCTGAACTCACTATTGTGTATTTTTTTCCATCAAAAAATAGAAAGAGTTCTTTAACAAATCACAATGAGCTCAGTAACCGTTTACAAACCCAATTTCAACTGGAAACCTGCCCAAGTAATCAGAAACAATGAGCTATTTATTCCGCAGGTGGTTGTACTAGCGATATATTTGAATTTCATTTTGAAATCGACAATAGCTGAATAGCAGTCAGATTACACAATAAAAACATCATCTAAATAGCACGTGCTATAAATAAAGACATAAACAATATGGCATAAAAGCAATAATGGGAGAACGTTATTTTAAAAAGACTGAGATATACAGTATAAGGATAATGATCAAGTATGTATGGGAAGTAAATTGACTTTAACTAGAGTAGCGTTTAGAATTGTAGACTAACATTAAAATCGTTAACTCGAAGAAAGCAAATGCAACTAATTATTTTTCCATCTCCACGAAAACAATGATCAGTAAATTGTTCCTATACATTTGCAAACCTTTCCTAAAAACTGGTAACCCGCACTTCGTCAGAATAAAACATGTTTTAATGGCAGACCGAAGTGTTCATTGTGTTTTTGATTGCGGTGATTATTATTATTATTAATGGTTTATTATTCTATTATATCGCCGCCAGCAGCGGAATTGCAGAAAAGTTACATAAAAAAAATAAAATTACACAGAGATTAAAAGAATAACCATCATGAAAGGGCATACGAAGAGAGGGAGTGATAGGGACGGGTTGAGGGGAATGGAGCTAGGAAAACATGTATGGTATTAAAGTACACAGATACAAAACAAACAGTAAAAATTGAGAGAAACAGTTTAGTGAAATTCAAATGCTATAAAAACCAGGCTTCCTTTTTAAAATTGTGTACAAACAGGATGTAAAACCGCGCAGGACGAAAACAGGTTGGGAAAAGAGGATGGAAAGGTTGGGTGTACACAGGGGCAGAGGTTGATACAAGTAGGATAGGGAAGTTGTCTTGGGAATGGAAGGCATGGGAAGGGAGGTTGTTATGTGAACAACAGGATTGCGGAAGGGAGAGGTCAAAGGTAAAGAAAAACAACGGGGAACACTCAAAATTCGACATAAACACAAATGCATAGGGTAGAACTATGATATCATACTTCACAAGTTTGAGATAGGGTAGACCTAGCCTTCGGCCAAGACCATTATGGCTTAGAACGGCTAAGCTGCGATTCCGGGGCGATTGGAGCGAAGACCAATTCAGCACGCACGAGTTGCGCATGTGGTCTCCGTTCCAGTCGCTTCATTCTTTCGCCACTCTGCCAATGCCGGTTAAGCATGTACAGTCTCGAGACGAAACCTACCTAAAAGGGCCCTGTCACACTTCTGCGTATCCTAATTCCTTATGAGTTGCGCATTGACATTTTTTTCATACGCAGTCGTACGCACAATACGCACCTCATATACATCTCTATCGTTTTGTGTAAGTTTTATGTACGCAGGCATTCGCATGGTACGGCCCAGTACGCTGGATAGTTTTTGGCATGCACAAAACTGCGTACGCTGTTAAGCCCCTGTCACACTTTTGCGTATCCTAATTCCTTATGAATTCCTTATCAAAATTTTTCAATACGCAGCCGTACGCTCAAAATATTGAATTTGTTTGATTACTTTGACTTTTGTGCGACCGTACATCTAGCGTTCAAGTAACAATTCAGTTGTATTAATTCGTGCAATACGTAGGCTTTCGCTATGAGTTCGTTCAGCGTGCGTTGTATCTGCGCTGCAAGTACGCTATGTATACGTCCAATAAAGGCGGCTCATATGCTGACGGGGTGCGTGCCGGGAGGTCAGCGGTATTACCGCGTATGAACCGCTTATCCCCCACGAACACATAGCGTACTCGTACCGCGCTAGACCGATGCGGGACTGGTGTGCTGCGTATTTATAATGTATGACCTGCGTAACAGCGTACGCAGCATAGTTCTGTGCATGCCCAAAACTATCCGGCGTACTGGGCCGTACCATGCGTATGCCTGCGTACATAAAACTTACACAAAACGATAGAGATGCATATGAGGTGCGTATTGTGCGTACGACTGCGTATGAAAAAAAAAATGTCAATGCGGAACTCATAAGGAATTAGGATACGCAGAAGTGTGACAGGGCCCTCCCCGCAGGTCATAAGCATAGATATAGAGTTCCATATCTATGGTCATAAGTTATAAATACGCAGCGCATCGGTCCCGCATCGGTCGAGCGCGGTACGAGTACGCTATGTGTTCATGGGGGATAAGCCGTTCATTCGCGGTAATACGCTGACCTCCTATATTGGACGTATACATAGCGTACTTGCAGCGCAGATACAACGCAAGCTGAACGAACTTATATCGAATGCCGACGTATTGCACGAATTAGTACCGCTTGTCCTGCGAGCGGGCAGCGCATCGTAACTGGTGAGAAACGCACAGATAGCGAACTTGCGCACTGCATACGCATCTCATGAGCAGTGGATGTGCTGAATTCGTTACTTGTTCGCTAGATGTGCGTCGCACATAAGTCAAAGTTATCAAAAAAATTCGACGCTTTTGATCGTACGGCTGCGTATTGAAAAATGTTGATAAGGAACTCATAAGGAATTGGGATACGCAAAAGTGTGACAGGGGCTTAAGCGACCTGTACCTGACGAGTCTCGCTTTTTAGACAAATATCTGGTTTTCTTGTCAAAATTACTAAAATAAGACTGGTAAGAGCTTTTACATGCCGGCATCTTTACTACTTATACAAACCAATGAACTCCTTAACTTTTCCGGTGTATAATTTAATGATCTGTTCCTTATAATCCTTGTAAATCCCCGCGCTTCGTTTTTACGGCCTTACGCACACTTCCTTCAATATTCATGTCTTCCCCAATTTTACTTCTTAAAAATACCCTCCTAGCCATGCTGGTTAGTCTCCCCCAAATTCCTTCTAAAAATATCCTCCTAGCCATGCTGGTTAATTTTCCCCAATTTTTCTTTAAAACAAAAATATCCTCCTAGCCATGCCGGCTAGTCTTCCCCAATTACCTTCTTTAAAATATCCTCCCAGCCATGCCGGCTAGTCTTCCCCAAATTTCTTTCTTAAAAATATCCTCAGTCTTCCCCAATTTCCTTCTAAAAGATATCCTCCTAGCCATGCCGGCTAGTCTTCCCCAATTTCCTTCTTTAAAATATCCTCCTAGCCAGGCCGGCTAGTCTTCCCCAAATTTCCTTCTTAAAAAATATCCTCCTAGCCATGCCGGCTAGTCTTCCCCGAA